AGCTATTCTAATTGTTCAATTACTTATCATGTTATGTGGACATAAAGCCGAATTTAGAGCAAAATGCTGAAATAAATTAGCAAAGTAATTACCACCTGGAGCTCTACATCCTTCATGCTGTCGTTATAAAATGTTGGTATCCAGTTTTCTGGAGAAAGAAGAAGAGTAACACAACTCCCTCATACACGCGCTGACAAGCTTGTACAATATAACCTTGTGCTCCTACAACGAGATGTACTCGGATGCTGAAGAAAACAAAGGAAACTCAGTCCCAGCTTATTTCGCTTTAAGTTTATCGACCCAATCGCAAACCTAACCCAAGGTCAAATGACCTTGACCTAACCTAACGTACGCTAAACTGTAGTAACGCTAACTTAACCTAACCTAACATAGCACCATCTCCCCATATTTTTTTTTTTGCGGGGAATAGCCCACCCAGGCACAGGTCATCGACCCGCAACGGGGCCTCGGGGGCGAAAAATAGGAGTAAAAATAAATTAAAAATAGGAAAGAAAAGTTTATATTAATCTACACCACGAAGATGCCGGAAAACCAGCTTTTTGAAGTGAGACAGATTGTAAGAGTATGGAAACAGAAGAATGCAGAGCATTCCACAGTTTGGCTGTGTGAGGAAAGAAGGATGTACTTTAACGGGTTTTTTGGTCCTACCAACATCCACAGAGAAGCAGTGGGCACTGCAGGCAAGACGAGTGCTACGAGCCAACGTCCTTGCCAGTGGTACACAAGATGCCAAATCCACTGAACATTGCCTGTTAAAGTACAGTACCTGTAAAAGAGAGAGAGTGAAGCAACAATGAAGGGAAGAGAAAGGGAATAAAGATTATCAACTAAAGGAGGAGTCAATAAGACGACATGCCTTTGATTCCACCCTACTAAGTGTTGGACAGAAGAAGAGCCACCCCAGATATGAAAGCAGTACTCCAAGTTAGGGTGAATGAATCCCTTATGCAGTATCCTTGAAGTAACTGCTCAGGAGTGAAGTAGTGACGGCATCTGCACAGCATTTCCAGCTTTCGGGAGGCAGCTTTAGCAATGTTGTGGATGTGATGCTCTCATGACATATTAGAGGAAATGGTGAGGCCTAGCATATCTATTTTAGAATTTGGCAGAATGATTGCATCCTGAAATGTGATTGGTGGGAGATCATCTAATTTGGAAAGTGTAATTGGTAAATACTGAGTTTTATTACTATTGAATTTAACTAAGTTTCTACCTTCCCCCATTCGGTAATGCTGCACAGATCTGCATTGATAGATGTAATGGTATCAGCTCTAGAAACAGATCTAGTTTGATAATTAAGGGAAAGGGAAAATATGATGAGTGAAGAGTAGAATCATCAGCGTAAGAATGGAAAGAATTAGCCGTAGTGTGAAGTACAGTAAATCATTGATAAAAAGAAGGAAGAGAGTAGGTGAAAGAACAGAATCCTGTGGGACACCAATATGGCCTCCAGCCTCCCCCAATAGCCACACCTTCACCGCCATTTTATTACCTTAAAATTAAATATCCTATTACAAAAGTAGCTACGTTAGCTGTGTTGAGTTAGTTGAGCCACAGATCTCTGCGGTATTCAATGACTGTTGTCTCAGTCAATATCTACGATCATTGTCGACTTTGGAGCCGAAGATCTCGTTCCCCTGAGGCAGAGCAATGCAGACCTAAGCAGAGAGGACAGTCGACATCTCAACCAGGCTGTAACGTAGCTTCTAGGCTGCTGCTTCCGTTCGGATAACACCTCCGCAAGTCTGGCATAGAAACATCTAGCACTTGGTCCCATCCCACCAGAGGTTGTGAACACCAGACGAGTGAAGCTGCCCTGATCAACATTCAGAATTCTCTCCCCATATGCCCTGATCTTGTCATTCTCGTTCCTCCTGTGTGCAGCGTCGAGAGCTAGGTTACGGTGACATGCGGCCATGGAATAAAAAATCCTTGTCAAAAAAGGCTCGCTGTTCCCATATTCAGAATCCTCAGGCACTGACGTCCACACAGGCTTTGTTGGATATGTTTGAAGTCATGTGATGGAAATTCTCACTGTCCAATGGAAGGAGGGTTGGTTCTACCCTGACATCATGGCAGATTTCCTTCAGCATATTTGCTGAGATCCCTTACTTCGTCATGCCTCATGCATACAAAGCCCCCTTTCTTGCACACCATGGCGTGGTCGATGTCATAGGAAGAGCCACACACACATTGGGTGGGCAAACCTTCTACTGGCCGACCGTACCTTAGAGCAATGGCATCTGTAAATTCTTGTTTATTAAGACTGAAACCTTTTGACCTTATCGGTAACGTTGTTAGCCAGTTCAAGGCACCCACCACCTGCACTATAGCTACTTTTTTTACAAGTTCTCTGGCACTTGTAGCATCAGTTGCTGCAGTTTATCACTTTGGGTGTGTTGTCGATCTGTCGTAACGGACTGTCGAATCTTGTTTAATTCCTTGGTATCCACTTCACTTGTTGCATTCTGAGCTATTATACGCTCAGTGAGGGCTGCCGTGAGCTTGACTGAGTTCTGATGTTCAGTAGCAGCAAGCTCCTCTGGATTGGTAGAGAACGAGCGAGAGATTTATCCCTCGACAACAACTGCCATGGATCGGTTCTCAAGGAAGCTAAAAATTAGAGAACAAAGTGGGGGAGAGAAACCATAAGAGGGAAGTTTAGAAAGCAAAGACTTGTGCCATACCCTGTCAAATGATTTGGAGATGTCGAGAGCCATGACAAAAGTTTCCCCATAATCCCTAAGAGCAAAGATGGGTGCAGTAGGAGAGCAGATCACCAGTAGATTTCTCCTGGCGAAAGCCATACTGGTGATCTAACAAAAGAGAATGGCGTTCAAGGAGATGGAGAATGTGAGAGTTTAAGATAGTTTCGAAAATTTTAGAGAGGGATGAAGTTAGGGCAAATGGTCCCAATAGTTAAAGTGATTGGAATGGTCACCCTTCTTTGGGATGGGCTGAACCGAGGCATGCTTCCAAGAATAAGGAAAAGTTTGGGTTTTGAGGCAGATGCAAAAAGAGGCGAGCAAGCACAGGGGCCAGAACTTCAGCACACTCCCTCAGAACACGAGGGGGTATTCCATCCAGTCTATGAGCCTTACTCACATCCAATCTGGATAACACACCAGCACCCCTACGAGTGGAGATTATAGGAAAGTGCATAGGTTCAGTAGGAGGAGCAGGAGTAGGAGGGATAGTGTTGGAACCATCGAAGGTGGAGATGAGGAGAATAAGGTGCCAAAGAGATTGGCTTTATCGGGGGGAGAGTTGGCTATAGAGTTAGTGTGGCTAATCTTTAGACGAGACAAAAATTGGGTGCGGTCTACAAGATTAGGTCAGGTTAGGTTAGGTAAAGTCAGGTCAGGTTAAGTTAGACTAAAATTACAGGTATTTTTGTAGACCGCACGCTATTTTAACGCCATCAACAGGGTGTCTCGAAAAGAAGTGGTGGTTGTGGGGCTGAAGAGGTATACCTGTATTGCATTATTGTTCGTCAAGATAATGAGGTGGTCTTGGTCACACCTTACTGCCTTTTGAGTATTATAATTGAACTCCTTAAGTACGGTATCTTAACCCGTTGAGTACGATAATTGAACCCCTTGAGTACGATGACCTATATGTAATCCCTTAAGGACCACGCAGTAATCAGTTTCTTCTAAGAATTTCGTATATCTAAATGATGTTTAAGTAATTTTGATTGAAATTCATTAACATTACTAATCTGCAGCAGTGTTAACCATTAATTTACATTTACTTAATTTTCCCATAAATATCACTTAGCTTATTCTATAATTTATATTCTCCGCCACTAACACTTGTCTTCTTTCTAGCTCTCTGTTACACAGTTTCCAAAGCCAGGCCCATGGCTTCAAAGCTAAAACTGATGTCGTGCCTCTGGCTTTGAAGACAAAGCCTTTAGTTTTGAAGACAAAACCAAGCCCCAAAATCCTGGCTTCCAGAAGCAAACTTCAGCCCCATGTCTGACTGGTCGATTGTTCCACAGATCTACCACCCTCTATGAGAAGAAGTATTTTCTTATATTCGTCCTTTTTAAGCCGAGACTAAATAACACAAACTGAAGAATGAGTATGCTGTACATAAGGCTCCCCCCCTCCCTCAGTTGTTCCAGTAATATTTAGGGTGAGTGAGGGCATGACATTTACATGTATAACAACAAACCAGGTGACTTAATTGTTTTTTATATAATACAGCAGTTAGTTCTGTCTCTGCAGCTGACTTGTCTATGCTATATACTTTTCAGTGGCTGTGGTTGAGATGGGGAAGATAGTATTTCTGGTGTTCTGGTTTTTGTTGGATTCCTGTAATATATTCCCAATTAAACAAGTGTTTGGAACCTGGGTCATCCCTTGTTGATACAAGAGTTGGCCAATCCACTGCATCAGTTGCAAAAGGATGTGCTTAAGAGCAATGAGTGGGCTGAATAGCATGCATCATTACCATCGTCAATGTTTTATGGCTATTTTCCATGCTTGCCTGAATAAGAAATAATGAGTAAGGAGATGTTGAATAAATGGGAAATGAAACACTGATAAAATGTGTACAATTTAGAGGAGGATGGTAGGAGGGAAAAGAAGACCAAGAAAAGAGAAGGCTGGGGGTGAAGAAAGCCCCCTAAAATTATGGAGACGCATATCTGGTAAGCAGCAATGAATGGCTGTAGAGCTTGGTGATGAATAGTACAGAGTATTTGGGTACTACTGTATAAACATATGACTGGTAATATTATGTTGAGTAAAGCAACTATGGTAAACCACATAAATACAGTATGTGGAGCCTTGTTTTGGGAGGGGAATATCATAGGAGAATACATAATGTTACAATAGAATGAATGAACAAATGAAGTCTGTACTTACTCATTTCTGGTTAACCTGCAATATTGTGGAAAAAGGCTTAAAAATAAAAAAATAGTAAAAACATAACTGGGACTTTAGGGATAATGTTGAATACAGTACAAAAAATGTAATCAGGAGTGCTTTATTTAAAATTTCATATAGTGTGACACTTATGAGCCATATAAATACTTTCAATAATACAATAAACAAAAGAAATTAATACCCTACAGCATTTAAATTATAAAGATATAATTTCTCTACCTACTAAAGCTAAATATTAATAAAAAATATTTGAAATTTGTTGCACAGGTTGTGCCATGGATAATGATCTTGTTTTGTTTACAGGGATCTAAATAAGATATTACTGATATTCTCACAATTTTATTTCACCACCCATGAAATGCATTAAGTTCAGTTCAGAGAAAACAAGCTTTACTGTAAAAGCTATAAAGTGTATTGTAGGAAGATTGAGGGTACAGTGCCACTCAATGTAAGGTAAAGTTTACGGTAAATGAGTAATTTTCCAGGTTAGGCATATACCGTACTGTACTGTAGTCAGGAGTGTAGATGAAGTCATGAATAAGGATATTAAACAAAACATAGATCATAAAGTTAGCATGCAAAGAGGATGTAACTTTGAGGTGATCTATTTATGATGGGGCAATAAGTGCTGATTTTTTTTTTTTTTTTAATAAAGTGAATTTTGAATACCGGCAAGAATAAAATCAGAGCACTTCAGGATAAGCTAAGTGCAAAAATTAAAAGTATTTGACAATGAGGATAATAATTTTTCTTTGTCTTCTTCAAAAACAGATGAACTAGCTCTGCATAGCCACTGAAAGTATAAGAGCTAACATGATTGAACTGAAGGAATTGTTAAAGGGCTAAGTAATCAATGTAAAAATGAAAACAGTAATACACTTAAAAAGCCAGAATAATAAAGAAAGATGTACTGTAAATGAGACACAGTGTACTGTATACATACAAAAATCCTGTCGAGCCAAATGTGATACTAAACCTAAGAAGTCATAAATTATGGAAATACTGTACTGTATTTAATAAAATTTAAGTGATGACACCACTTTCAAACAAGAGCACTAACAATTTATCTCAAAAGTGGAAGAACTTGTATATATGTGCTTTTGGAAATCCCATTCCAATGAAACTTGTTTATACAAAGGTACAGTACTTCTTCTTTAAATATAGATGAGCAAGATCTAATTATAAGGAAAGAGGAAAGTTCCAAGATATCCCCCTATTTCATGTTCGTAAGAACATCATGTAGTTGAACAATATATACATACCCGGTATTTTCATATTTATCACCTACAGACTTAAATAATTTGGCTAAATAAAACTATTTGATTTTCAATATAAAAGGCCACACCCTAAATAAAAGGTAACATAATAAGAAGCCATCAGATGAGCACCAAGAGGCACATACAGTAAAACCACGTTAATCAGTGGAACATCGACGCATCAACCAATTAGAAAGAAATGAGATTCTTGTCCCAACGTGTTGTCCTGGTGAATATTTGTAATGTGAGCTGGACTGGGAAATGAAATATGTCTTTGGGGGATGGACAAAATTTAGTTATAAAACAAAGAAATTTTAGCCAGTTACACAGTCTCCATGTGGGATGTGTAGGTCACAAGGCCGGTGGAGCACCAACGTATACACCATAGAGCATGACTAATCAGAGGACCGCGAAAACATGACATCGCTCACTCAGCCAATGGGAGGCCCAAAAAATGTGAGGGTGTATGAGCAACCTTGGGAGGCGGGAACTATAGCATCTGCTAGACCCCTGCTATTATCGGATGCCACGTGAATGATTCTCTATTATTTTCTGTCTAATAGTGTTTATCATCCATGCATACGTGTACACCTGTTCTGGGCTGGTGATTATTACATAACATTTGTATGATTGATTATTCATCATTTACTGTATGCTCTAAAGTGACCCTCTAAAGTAAACTCAACCTAATGACTACGCAGTCAAAACAATGTACACTAACTTTAACCTTGATTATCTCAATACTTGAGTTTTTTGCATATATCGGTGTTCCACCAAGTGTCTCATACGATTCAAAAAATTTTACAAATTCAAAATGCCAAGCAACATTCTATCAATTGAGGCGCTCCGCATTACAAGGGGGTGAAGCGCCAAATTTAAAAAGCGGAGAAAAACGCGTTTAAAGTTTTTCGAAGTTCAAACAACCCTAACTAACTTTGTTCTTTTTTAAGCTAGAGGGTTCATTTTTTTTTATCGTGCAGCTCGATCCCTCTCCTAGCGAACAGTGAAAACTGGAAGTTAGTACTGTGAATAGTTACTATTTTATCGCGAGTTGAATGAGAATAACTACCTGTCATGTATGGTTGTTTGATCTTCAAACCAACAATAATAGCATTTTTCTGCAAAATTTTCTTATTATTGTGGGCTAATACTGTAAAACAAGTTAAGGATCACAAAAAAAAACACTCGTCTTACACCAAGCTACCCCCCAAAAAATTAAATAATAAAAAAAAATCACTTGCCTATCAGTATTTATCTTTCCGTCCCTATTATTAGCAAAAGATCTATAATATTGTTTAGTACGTATAATAGTGTAATAATAAGGAAACAACACCCCCCCCCCCCCACCGTAATTAACATGCGAATACAGAGGTGGAGAAAGTTTGCATAATCTTGGGTAAAAACAGTATTATGATAATAGTATTACAATTTTACTTTGTTTAGTTCCTTCGTTTTATTATCCCTGACGATCGTAGTTTTCTCTGCCCTCTCTAAAAATCGCTCCTCTCATTCTGAACGGGATGTGACCACCTTTACTTACTGAGAACACAGCCAGATACGTAGCTCCCGGCCTGAGGCAAAATGACACTCTATTTTTGAAGGACTTTCAACCATATTTCTAGTCTACCTAAGGGGTTACATACAACGCCAACATGTAGAGGAAGGGTGAAAATAGTGATATCCATAAAAAAACGCATTTTGCCCGGGGTGGCACTTTACCCCCATGTAATGCTGAGCAAATCACGACAAAGGGTCTTGATAGCTGCTGTAAAAATTAAGACTGATATATGTGGTCATTAACCTTATTGCAAAAAAACTATTTTGCTCCTGAACTGTAAAATCCAAAACACTTTTGGCACTCTAATTTTTTAAGAAATTTGGTCATGGTCTGCAATCTTAATGATGCAATAAATTCAGCATCATCTTAACAGTTGATATGTTCATATTCTCCCCAGTAAGCACAACTCCAAATGAAAGCAGGTAATGTTATATCTACTCTGGTAGCACAGTCACAGCTCATCATCATCCTTGGTAAAATCATAATGTTGTGATGTGCATGGCAGTGTAGGTATCAGCAAGATATTGTGATGTACATGGCAGTGTTGGCAGCGTCATCATGTACATTCAGGTATTGGTAGCATCATGATATACATGGCAGTGTAGGTAGCGTCGTGATGTACATGGCAGTATAGGTAGCAGCATGGGTGGCAACATAAGGTTGTAATGTGTGGGGCAGAAGGTTGTGGTATGTGTAATGGCAGATAGATGCAATGTGACCTTGCCTCATCCCATAATTCTGTCCTCCAATAAAAGGAGTAGTTACCCTTTTACTATTCCAACAACAATGGAGAATCTTTGGACAGATTCAGTATATTATATCCCTTTCACTAACCTGTCCTTCACACACTGTTTGGTCAGTGTCAAAACCATTCTTTATTAGGTGGAATCTAAGGGTAAATTTTATCCTATTAATTCAAATTATTGATTGATTCAACTCGTCTTTAGCCTTACAAAGTCAAACTTAGTGAGGCTGTTACTCATTGTTTATATGGTTTAGCGTATGAATTAAATCATTATTTTTAGAGAGAAAAAAAAGTTATTAATTGTACTGTAACCTGCTGATACCTGTTTTCCATGTTTGCTCCTTCCAATTCACACAACCATTAACCATTATCCGTACAACCTAAATATTACAAATTCAACTCTACATACTGAAACCAAAGCCATCAGAGACAAAGCAAACAGGCTGCTTTCAGTTTATATTTCTTACATATTTCCATGTTCTCGTTGAAATTTATGTTTTGTAACTGCCATTACTTTTTCTGGTCAAATAATATTCATAGTTAGTTTAAAACTATAAGTTTTCTCTACCATTCAAATATCATCCTCATTCAAGCTTCTTACGGACACTCATCAGATACAGGTACTGACATCTTCACATAAAATCACACTTATGGCAGAGATGTTTCATGTAGTGAAGGTTTCAGTTATGCAATCTCTCTCTGTATATTGTCATGGACAATAAAACTTCCGGTATATACAATATAACTTAGGAAAAAATTTGAGAATTACCGCACTAGATAATTCTTACCAACTAATCTGAGGTATCTCTTTTTTTTATCTAGCCATAAAAACTCACCTTTGTTTCACTTATTTATGAACAAATGAATCAGGACTGACATGAGCTTTTTGTTTGGAGCTCTTTATTCTAGTGCATACAAAACACACAGTAAAATAATTTAATAAATTAATTACAAATTTCTCATATGGCTTGACCAGGCACTAATCTATGTTAGCATATTCATCTAAAATCACTCACAGCACTTTTCTTTCCCTTAGGACTGGACAGAGTTATGAGAGGCACACGTCTAGGTGTCTTTGATCCCCCAGATGGTGTTTTGGCAGGAGATCCATCCCTTGTGGTTTTGGATGGGCTTTGGGTATCCCCTTCAAACTTCTTTTTTACTGCTTCATCTACATCCATTAATTCTCCCTGAAATACAGACATGTTTTATCCTGTAGGATGTTGGTACAGGTACCTATTTTATATATGCAGCACCCTTGTCCATAGCCTGTGGAGTCCCACAAGAGAGTATCCTAAGATCACTGCTCTTCCTTTAATGAATATATGACATGCCCATTAGTGTTAATTGCAAACTTTTGTTGTATACTGATGATAATTCTCTTTTAATGTCAGGTACTGTATATGGCAAGGAATGTTGTAAGGGTCAGAAGCGTGGACACTTTCAGCAGACTAGAAAGAGTTTAGAAGCATTTGAAATGTGATGTTACAGGCGAATATTAAAAATAAGTTACACTAACAGGAAAACAAATGAAGAAGTACTAAGGTTAGCAAAAACTTCAGGAGATATACTTCAAATATACAGAAAATGAAAAATGGGATACTGTACTTCGCTCAAATAATTAGGGATGAAGGGATAACAACACAAATATCAACGGGCAAAGTTGAGGGTAGGAGGGCCAGGGGAAGGCAGAGACTGGGATGGAAGAATGAAATTAAAAACTGGGTCCCTAGAAAAATACAAAATCTGGATTGGGAAAAACAGCCCCAAAATGTTTAGAGTGGAGGACTGTGGTCAACAACCCTCAGATATGAAGATGGTATGAGTCATGCAAACAATGTATTACATTACAGTAACTGCAACTACATTCAGTGTGTCCCCAAACTCAAGTATTCTTTTGTCTTCAATATTTCTTGTACTAAATCCTTTTCCACCATGTACAGTACAATAAAAGACAAAAATCATGTCACGGTTTTGTCCGAAGATTAAATTTAACTCGTGAAACATTATGAGAGCCCCCTACCACAAGGCGGAGCGCAACAAAAGTTTAGCCCTACAGCATATGTGTTCACCAAATTTCACGACATGACTTTTGTCTTTCATTGTACACCATCATAAACCATTGTGTTCACCAACATGGCTGTTTAGGTCACCATCCAGTGCTAAAATTTCCCTTTCATCAAGCTCCATTACTACATGCAGCCACTTATCTCAAAACTTGTCCTTTTCAGTGGAACATATGCAGATACAACACTCACCAGATCTTTACCCAACAGTTGCTTTAAAACCACAATTCTCACATTTACTCTTTTCACCTGTAACACTTTCTTCACCCAATTTTCAGCAATCAAGGTCTCAACACCACCTGACCCAGAGTCACTACCCTTCTAAAAGATGTTATACCTGTCATTCATACCAGTAATCAACTTTGCTGATCCTCCTTTCCTTCTAGTTTCTGGTACACAACAGGTACCCGACCGCCCTTCAATGGTTCCATGTCTCGACAATCTCCCCAGATCTACCCTGCATAGCACCATCATTTACAATTCCACCTCAAAACCTAACTACGTCAGGCTGCTTCGTTTTGTTCTCACGCTGCTTCCTTTGACAGGCAATCATACAGTGTACAGGTGACTTATGTTGAAGAGGTTTCCACAAGATTTTTGGTTGTAGTGCCATAGTTCATAAGAGCTGGGTAATAACCAGATGAAAAATGTCCCCTTCTGCTCATCACCATAAACCCAAGTAGTGGGGTGCTAGCAAACCTAATGCTGTAGCAACTACAGTCCAGTGGCCTCAGGGTGACCCACCATGACCAGCTTCTGGGACACCCTTCCCTGCATTTGATGATGGAGGCTGCTGCAGCCTTTCAGAATACAACCCCTGAATATAGGTTCCTGTACTATCAAGTGTATGTGCCAGCCTTTAAATGGCTCACATGGTACTCAATGTAAAGACTACATGCCAACTCAGAAAATGCAGCAGAGACCTGAGGGAAGACACAACTCTGGCATCCCAGTTACCATCAGGTGGGTTGAAAGCAGGTTTTACTGCCAACTAATTTTTATACCTCAGGAAATGGGATCTATAAATACGGTTTCTAAGAGCCCTCCAGTCACACATTTAAGGATTGACAGTGAAATATAATATAATATAATATATCCAGTATGCTCATTACCTGTAAATGGGTGTTACTTGGTAGCTGTGTAGACTCTGGCTTAGGAGTGAGTGTGTTCTCATCACTCTTGAGTGATGGACCAGACAGTGTTATCAATGATATTCTCTTGCCAGGTTTAGAGCTGTTGGTATACAAATAAATTTTAATAGACTTATAGACTTCCACAAAAAGCACACTAAAACAACACCTAGACTTTTTTAAGTTCACATTTAATTGTAAAATGCTGGTACAGGAGTCCTCATTCATTGCACGGGTTCCTTTCCTGAAAACCATTGACGTTTGAACTGAAATAGTATCCATGAAACCAATTTTCTTATCATTGTGCGGGTACGTGGGCTGTTTTTTTTTTTTTTATACAAAAAACTTTACGAATCATAAGACATGAAATATATAAAAATAAAAAACATACAAAATACAATTGTGCAGGTTATGGAGTCACGTGAATGGTTAAAAAAAAGTCCCATTTATAATACCCTTGAAAGATAAATTCATGAAAGTATGAGAATTACTGTACGTATTCTTATTATTAAGACTGCATAATACTGTACAAGACTCCTTGTTTAGCACTGCATGTCATTCAAATGGATAAAGATCTGGATACACAGGCTTGATGTCTTTGTCCAAAACTGAAAATTCATTATCTTGCTTTCTTTTTATCTGTAAAAAAGGAAAAGCCTTAAAATAATTCAGACTTTATGATTAATAATACTGTACTATTTTTAATGAACTTAGTGGTTTTGTATATTACATACCTTTCTCCAGTTCTTTTCACTGTTACTGCTTTATTTTTTGTCAACTGGCTACTGGGCAACTGTTCATTTTCAACCTCCACTGATGCTGATTCACACACTGAGGATAAAACTGGCCTGGTCTCTTTTACATCAAACTCAGTGCTGTCTACATCCTTTGTAATATTTTGTTCTATCCCTTTTCTGTATGGAATCCCTAATTCGCCTTCAGAAAAGGACACCAAGGAACAATAACCATCTGTTGAGGAAACGACAAGGATTCGACCATCGAAGGACCTGAAAGAAATTAATTTCCTAATACAGTAATACAGGTTCATGCTGTTAGTTTTGAAATTAACAAAATGTAAAGATGAAAATCATGAGATCAAATGAAAATAGCAGTTATTGATGATAAAGGGGATACATAAGTATTACAGAAAAAGTAATATGGAGGATTGGACCCAAATTTATACTTTCTAAACAAGCTTGTTGTCAGGTGGCTTTTGTTGATGTACAAACCATTTTAGGGGGTTCTAATGAGTAAATTACCCACTAAAATGCCTCTGCAGGTTGATCTTACAATTCCTCAGCCCCCCACCCCCTCTTCACAGCTATCTCTTGTAAAAAAGGTGGACTGGAGGTAAAGTCAGCCTAAAAGTCAGCTTCACCTACCTAGCCAGTACAAACAATGTTTCAGTTATGGCTGGTCTTGATCTTTTAACCTATCTGTTATTTTGGATGTAATTTCCATCTGACTACCCACAAATCCATGGGAGAAGAGTGTGTGTCTAAGCCAATCAGCCACAGGTTTAACCAGAAAATGTGATTTTAGGATCAGTCCTCCACAAGGTAGCTCTGTAACAATTCTAGTAGTTCTTGCAGTTTGACAATATGGCTGCACTTGTTTTGACATATTCAAGTTCATAGCAGACATAATTATCTTTCTAACATCAGCAGTATCTCAGCATAGAAGATAAGTAGGCAAAGTGTGGTTTGCCCTCAATGGGAACCATGTTAAGTGTCATTTAACAGAGTACAGTAGCTATTCTCCTGGTGATGGTGAAAAAAGTAAGAGTTCACAGCCTTTGCAATACAGGTCTCTCTCCCCAACTGTGGTTTCCTCAATCATGATTTCTAATTCCCATGGCATAGTAAAATGTACCGACTTCCTCTCTCCCAGTTCCAATTCTCATTATTTCTCAGGGGTGATGAGTTTCAGCAGTAGATGACTTCAAGCTCTCTCTCATTATGGGTCCGAAATATAAACGGGATAAGTACATATTTTATTCTAATTGGATAAATTATCCATAAAACTTATATAAAGATAACAAGGGATAAACATGTAAGAAATGTTTCCATCAAGGTTAGAAGCAGTGAGGAGTCTAGCATGTCCCTGTTGTCATAGTAATGAGCATTCTGCTGTGTTGTGAATATGAGGCCCTGGGGAATACTGGCTCATAGGAGTTTGTAATGAACATTTTAATTAATGAGAATAATAATAATAACTTACAAAATTCATTATTAGTAATAATTCAGCTATTTTCAGAAAATTCTAATCTCAAAGTTAGTGTAAGTGAAAATAATCCTACTACTTTTATTCCTCTTATTATGAAAAATGTCTGAAATGAGATCTCAATGTTTCTCATTATTTCTGACACAAACACAGAAAAGTTTTTCTTCCCAATACAGTACCATCAAATGCAGCATCACCTACGTATTTGATTTTATATTTGCCATTTTTGCTCATTGCCAGTGCAATATACAAAATTTATCTTAATCTAGAATTTGCTTATTTTGGCAAGGGTAGAGAGCCTATTACCTGTACTGTATTCTAAATTATGATAGGTTTACTATATTATCATCATAATGCAGTTTCTTGTGAACTTGTTTGTAAGTAATTAATTTTTATGTTGATTTTAAATTATCTTTCAATATACCCCCAGCTACTGTTTATCTTTATTTACTTATGTGTCAGTTCAGGGCTGACATATGGAGTTAGGATAGATATATGGTTGATTCTTGTGTTTATGTAATGTTATATCTATATCATTAATTTTTTGGGGCATGGGATGTGACAAATGGCAACCTTGCCAGGATCCATACTGTACTGACAAGTAAATTTGAGTGTTTGAAAAACAAGGCTGAAGGAATTTGATTTTATAGACACAATAGAGTTTGTGGACTAGTTTACATTTTCACTAATTGTTGAGGCTTTAAGAGAGATTAAGAAAATAACTTGATTACCTTTAGGTGCTCATTATATTTTTGAGGTTAAGTCACCAGAGGAAAGCTGACAGTAAAGAGATATTTGTAAAGCAACTCACTGATAAAGAAATTTTGCCACAATTCTGTGAGTAGCTGGTCACAGGCCTTAACAACTAATCTAGCCACTCCTGTTCCACATCACAATGAGAAAGACTGGATTCCCTTTTGGCCTTAAGTTATAGAAAGATATCAGGATCAATCCTCAGTTTTTACTTACTTTGAGAGTATCATACCTGATGCCTGTACTACATGAGGCATTACCTTGCTATAATTTAACAATATTTTTATTATATGATTGAACACATGTTTTCTCAAGTGCCTTTTGAATACCGCGTTATCTCTGAAAAGACTCAGCCACATAATAATTACAATGTGTTACTGTAATTTTCTAGCTAATTTACATTATCAGTTGTGTAAGATGGAACCACATTGTTTATAAAATCCTTTGGTAAATGATGACCATAATATGAAAAAATTATGGAAAAAACATAACATGAGTACTGAGAATCAGATCTTACCAGGCTACATCACTAAGGCGAGTGTAGTGAATATTGGAGACCTTCGCAAAGGGGACTGGCTGTTGTGTATCATAGAGAAGCACAGCATTTTGAGTAGCAACAGCAAATATCATTCTATATGGCAAATTAAACAAATTTAAGTACTCCTGCCAAGGTTCTTGAGGCTCATCCTGAAAGTGAAAGTTAAAAGTCATTATTCTTGAAAGACTGAATGTCATGCCCTATCAACATGCACTTACTCAATACTGTACATTTTAATTATATACAGATCACTTTTTAACTTCATATACCCATAATCCTGTTGACGTTGAGAAATGGACCCATATTCACAAAGCAATTTTTAATTGAAAAAAAAAATCAATAAAAATCCTGAGGTATTGACATAAAGTATTGGGACACCCTGTAGTATGTAACTCATCCAAACTCATGAAAGCTCAAAACAATAATATACTTTTTTGGTACACTTTAATGCATTGTGCTTCAACTTCTTTACCATTCTTCCTCTCAACTCACCTGACAGTTCAGAAATCTCTGGTTCTCAAGAGATGGTCAATTTAATATTTAAATTTTTGCCTCTAATTCAACCCTGCAGGGGAATAAGCAGATGATTCCACTTCAGTATCAGGAAGTATCTGACATTTCAACTTTCAAAATTAAAACAAAAGATAAGGAGAAAGATGAAGTATGATAGTCAAGCTCAGGGTGCAGCTGTTGTGGACCCCCCCACCTACACATACACACACACATGGAGAAAAGATGATGACATATACAGATGAGAAAAAAATAATACTAATGCCACATATTAAACTTACTTTTTGGTCATCCTCTTCTTCACGTGGTATGGGCCTCAACTCGAATAGTATGGGACAGAATCTGACTGCCAATGTGTATTTGTCTTTTGTGGGAAGATAGAGTACTGGTCTGCCAAATAAGAACATCAACCATTAAAACCATATGATAACTGTACAAATTCTTTGTTCAAAAATTTCTCTGCCTATACCATCTGCATCTAGTATCTTTAGTAAATTTTATATTCTACCGGCCTTACTGGAACCTTGATAAGAATGACAAATTTGCATCCCTTTGAACCTGGAGATCACATTAGGTACCCTCAAGAGTTATTTATACAACCCAAATTTTGCCTCCTTTGATACAGTTTTCTCCCTCCATATAACTCTCAATCCATCTAATTCATTCTTTCCTTTTGTTGCTCTGTTGTTCATCACTCATCGTTCTACTAGCCGACACATCCACTCCATCTCTGGAACATTCCACTTCCTACAGTGAAGATACCACTTTTATCACCAGTGTTCCTTTCCTCCTAATTTTCGTAATTTTGTTTGTTCACAATCAATATCATCCTTTCTTCTAACACAATCACTTCTAAACACATCAATCTACCCTTAAACTGCTATCCAAGTCTACTAACTAAGCAAGCTTCAATGCTGTCCACGCCCATTGACATTTTATAATTTTGCATTACAATTTAAACTTTGCATGGCTTGATGTCACTCTGAGTGATGCACTGTAATTAGCTGGGTAGCCCTGAGTAGGTATTTCCTTCACCTCTCAGTTAGTGCTTTCATTTACATCATGGAACACATGTGCCTGTCAACCTCTCAGTGGAGGTACCACAGTTCAGATACTTGGATGTACCTTCAAGAACATGCAATAATTAATGCCAAGTCAAAATTCGGTTCAGCGAAATCCTGACTCACTGGGAAAGAGAAAAGCTGGGGATGAGGTGACCTGTGTGATGGCATTTTGCCAGTTACATGTAATGAAATTACACATTTTTGGAATAATCATTACAATACTCTATGTGGCTTAGAAACAAAGAAATAATATAAAACTATAAAATAAGAAAAGCGAAAAGCATGGGTGTGTATGTGTGGAGGCAGTGGACTGTAACTGCATAGCCGACTTCCCAGTCATCACCCATCCAACCTGCATTCTCTCCACTGATATGATGTCACAGCATACACACACGCACGTCTCGGAGTCAGTTGACTGACTGCCCAGCTGATGGCTGAACTGTCACATTGCCCAGAGGATGGTTTCAGCAAGGAAGGAGCTATTTTTTGTATATAAAATATGGGGTATTGTATTTTATGGTATGTATCAATTTTATAGTTTATCTTAGCATGAAAATAAAACCCAATACCTTCTACCAACAAAGTGGTAACAGCGTCATTGGTGGCAGACAGGCAAACGAATTACTTCAGTTGTATTAAGAATGTTGGACTAAGTTAGAATTTTAACCGAATGGGAACTAAGGGGACAAAAGTTCAGATACCTAGAAGATTCAGATAAAAGGAATTGCACTGTACCTATCTTGGGCATAGTTTTTTATCCCAAACTTGTGTGAAATTCTAGACACTAAATGAAAATAAGTAAATAAAAGTGGCAACAGGTGTTCTGAGAGGGGGCTAGGGGGTGGGAGGGGAAGCTTAAGGTGAGTCATTATGCCTTTTTATGATAGATGTATTATGAAAAGAACTGCACAAAAATAAGTGCACAACTCTATAGCAGTTAGACCATCGCCTTAAGGGCTAACACATGTTTTATTCTTAATTAACTACTAAAGTAAAGTCTTCAGCAAACAGCAGCGGAATCCCTTACCATTTACAACCTTATATCATTATTTGCCTACCAAATATGCACCTCTTACTGCCCTATCCCATAAAATATTAAACAATTATGGTGACATTACACATCTAGAACATATATATAATCCTTCTTTCACTAGGAACTTGTTTTTATTTACCCTACAAACTCTGGACATTACAGTATTCAATAATTTCCTATTACTCCACATATTTTCCATAGTATATTTCCCATATTTCTTTTCCATCTACTGTACTTTATTATGTCATTTTAACTATAAAAAAAAAAGAGATAAATTTGAGGATATATTTCTAAAAACGTAGTATCTCACTTGGAAGGTGCATGGCGGGAGAAGACATAGGTAACATTAGTTACTTTTCCATTATCTTCCTCTACAATACCAGAAGGAGTCAATAACAATTCTCCATCGGGTGAAAAGCTGAGACGGCGGCAGAAGGACTTCAGTGTGTCATCATAGAATAATCTGGTGGGCTGTGGGAGAATTTTTTTTTATTCATTTCAACACAAAGAAACTTTTTTTTTTACACAAGGATAAAAACATATACAGTATATTGTACTATATATACAGTGGGGTCTCAGAGTATGTGAGGGTTACATTCCTGGGATCCCGCTTAAAGTGCAAATTTCGTATACATTCGGGTCCCACTGTATATACCATATACTTATAACCCATTTTTATACTAAGGTAACCAAAGCGCAACTTTAGAGTTCAATACGCCACTCCTTAAAAAATTCAATATCTTGACTTTTTCTTCAAAAGTTCTCAGTATGCCCACATATATTATGTTTTCTGAAACTGTTTCCAAGTAATCAAATAACATACCCTTTCTCTCAAGATGTCTTCTGCATCAACTGTTGGTATATTAGTTTTGTGAATTCTGTGTGCTATTTTCTTGTTACTGATATTATATACTCTGCAATACCTGAAAAGATAAAAATTGGTACACTTAAAAAATGCTGTGATTATGTTATCAATGTATTTATTTGTGGAATTATTATTCCGATAATTGTTTTATGCAATACAGTGGGGTATGCTATAACGAACGGATCCTACTACGAATATTCCTATAACGAACGGTTTTACCTATAAAATTGAAAATGCTATAACGAACGAAACTCCTACAACGAACATTATTTAATTTTTTTAGTTTTTATTTTTTTTTCTAATTTATTGTTTTTTTATTACAAATATTAATGATATTCTTTATTTCAGGGGTTTAGATGCATATTTATGCACTTTTTTACAATTTGTACAATTTTATATTATATTTTTCAGTGTTAAGTGGTTGTATTTGGGGGCCTGGAACGGATTAATCCTATAACGAACGAATGCTATAACGAACAAGGTTCTAGAACCAATTAGATTCGTTATAGCATACCCCACTGTACTTGAAGTACCAAACACAAAGACAGCCAGACAGCCTGGCGACTGACTGCGTGTGTTACCGAGCACTATTTTATGAAAAATAATGCAAATAAAGTATTCTAAATGAATTATTTATCGGAAATAAGTATTATGATCAAGATCAGTAAAGATATGCATTACTGGCCATCCCGGACACAAAGGCAAGCTAAAAATAGCTGCTACATGCATAGGCGACCACGAGCATTTGCCGCCATAACAAGCTGTCCCCTTATCTCCCTCTCCCCTCCCTCCCTCTGCGCTGCCAGGGAAGTTTCTAGAGGGTCAATATATACGGGTAGTTTTTCTTACTTCTTTTTTATTGTTTTATCATTTAAAAAAAGATTAAAAATTATTTTGGGAAAAGTTGATTTTTCTCTATTTACCCCCTCACGTGGGGGGACGGCCAGCGGCACCCTAACCCGGGGCTTACGGGTTAAATGCTCATAAGACTCATCGGCAGGTAGTGTTCAAATTTCAATGAAATGAGCACTGGTTGGCTCAGATTGTGCTAATACAAACAACATACACATTAAACCTATTACTTGAGGGACTGAGTAACACGAGCACCAAGTGTACTACAGTAGAGCTACTCCTTGACTTACGACCACCCGGACATACTACCGCCCCAGTCGCACCAAAAAAATTTTCAAATTATGTATTTTTGAGTCTCAACATTAGTGATTGCGCTGTGTACTGACAAAATTTTTGTTTGTAATTCCCTTTAAAATGGCTGGCAAGCTTAAAAGTGAGAGTTTTGTGGTGCTGAGAAGAAAAAGAGACACCCATTTGAGATTATCTATGTATTATTTTCGCATTTTCGACTTACGACCAATTCGACTTACGACCTGGATTTGGGCCCCTAACCCCGTCGTAAGTTGGGGACTGCCTGTATATCAGTGAGCCAGGTGTATCCACACTCATAAAATTGGACACCATTATTAAAGTTACCGGTACTGTACTATATTCTTAAGTATAAAAAACATTTCCTCCCGGGCACTGAGCACTATAATGAAACAGCACTAAGCAGGGTATGTCAGTAAACAGTGGCCAATAATACACAAAGATATAGCGCAATACACAGTATGTTAAAAAGGCCAAATGCACATACCTGTCAGAACAAAGAGTCGCAACATATTGTCCCTGAGGGTCCCATGCTACACCTTGGACAAATCCTTTATGGTCATTTAACAATCCAATATTTTTTCCTGGGGATAAAATATACATTCAATAGTTTCACACAAAAAAGTATTAAATTAGTGAAAAATGAATGCCTTAAATTAGGCATATATAATATAATACAGTACATTGTCAAGCTCTCTCTATCTTTATACAGTATATAATCATCGTTTTACAGCCATTTTCCATGCTTGAGTGGGTCAGCCGTGGTTAGCTAATGACAGTTCTCCATGCTGCATGGTCTACTGCAGTCTCTCTTGTCAGGTTCCTAACTCTTCTGTCATTTCTTACCTTTCCCTAAGTCATTTTTGGCCTACCCCAAGCTCTCATCCCCTCCACATTTAGCCTCACAACCTCTTGACCAAGTTGGTCTCCTGCATTCTTACCACATACCCAAACCATTTCAGCCTAACTCTATGCAAGACTTCACCAATACTCTCAATACCCAGTCACCCAATTAGCTCTAGAGAGGACTTCCTGTCTTTCAGTTTATATATACGTACTGTAGAACCTCTATACACTGGAATTCACTTTTTTCAGACTCTGAGGTGCTCTAGACCCTCTCTCTCTATCCAGCATCAGTCCAGGCAGTTTCTGTGTCTGTAAGTGTGTTTGAATGTCTGTGAGTAGGTTTTTCTCCAGAGTGGTATAATGGTTCTTGTGATGTCTGGCTTGCCCTCGTGAACAGAGAAGCAGTCTTGTGTAAATCTTCCCTGCCAGTACACAGCCTCTTAACCATCAAGACTCCTGCTGTGCCACTTCATGGCAGCATAAGGTAGATGAGGATCTCCAAGCAACAGTGGGCCCCAAAAGTACAGTGCACATGCCCACCGGTTTGTGAACAAACCCTGGCTCCTACCACCCACTGCCTTGCAGAATAACCTTGATAGGTATAAGGTCACAGAAGTACTGTAAATCTCAAATGAATAATCTGCGGTGGGGCCCCGCATCAGGCAGAGTGCAACAGACCAGATGTCTGTTGCACCCGAAAACGTTGGATAGACCCAAGGTAGTGGGTGTGAGGATAGCACACCAAACCCCCACTCTAATCAACTCACCGTGCAGGCCTTTGTTCCACAATCATCTCATTTCATCATCATCCTCAAAGTCCTGCAGTGATGAGAAAGGGTGGTGGGTGCAGGCCAAGGATGAAGCTGGGAGCATTCAGCCCTGACCTGCATGCAGGCAGCACAGGAGTGATGGTCACTGAGCTACAGGAACTAGGATATCATATCTCCTCAGCAGTTTCCGGCATGTCTGAGCAGCCCAATACTGCTCACCCCTGATGGGGAAGGGCCATGAAAAGATGGTTTAAAAATTGCTTGTTCAGTTATCTATGGGTGGTTGGCTGCAGCCATTGAGACATCCCATAATACAGTAGAAGCAACAACGATGATAATGATAATAACTGTAATATCAGAAACGCCATAAACACCAGATCCCAAGCGCCACTCATGGTTGTGAAGTGTAATGTATACATAGTCTTAGCACGTACTGTGACTGACAGGCAATGGAGAGGAACAGCACTAGTGGCAAATGAGCTTAAAATGTACAAAATAGATATAGCAGCTTTGACCAAAACCAAATTTCATGGCGAGGACTCGGTGGCTGAGAATAGCGAGGAGTATACCTTCTTCTGGAAGGGTCTTCCTTAGGACGCTCGACACCTTCAAAGGGGGGGCTTTGCGGTGAAGTCTTCTCCGCTACACGACATCCCTGAATTATCTGTAGTGATTAATAAGCAGCTGATGATTTAGCACTGTTGTACAGACCACAAGCTGATCCAGTCCAAACTCTGCATGGTGATATGCCCACATCACCCAAAACAACCTCCAGCAGGAAGTTCAACTGCAGTCCCTGAAAGACTCAGAAACAACAGCTCAGCTAAGGAGTCTAATAGCCACAAACTTGGCCAACATCCCTGAAGATCCTGACATAGATGTCTCATGGACAGAGCTCAGGGCGTCCATCCACCAAGCGGCTATGAATTCAGTCAGTTACATCAGGCAAAGTCTTTTGGACTGGTTTGATGAAAATGCCCCGGGGATTTATGAATTTATCAAAGCCAAGTGTGGAGCTCACAACGCATATCTTTCCAACCCTCAGTCTCGCACTCTCTAACATTGAGCTGAGACAATACAACATGGAAAATGAATGGTGGATCAAGTAGGTTGGCAAAATACAGGGTGGTGCTGTTGCAAACAACACACATGGCTTCTATGATGCCATGAAGGCCATCTATGGCCCTCAGAGATGGAACTTCACTCCCATAAGATCAGTGGATGGCGGGAAGCTTCTCAGACCGTCAGCAGATCCTGAACAGGAGGGCGGAGCATGTCAGTAGCCTTCTCAACTGAACCTGAAAAGCTGAACTACCTGCCAAACATACTATCAACCTACCAACTCAATGCCCCACCTGAGTTTTGGGAGGTCTTATGCACCATTAAGGAACTCTAAAAGAACCAAAGTGCAGGTCCAGATGGCATCCCCGCAGAAATTCATAAGAAATCGGGTGTTTAATCCCTCCGTGTCTTTTCCAACAACTGATTACAACTACGTATCTGGAGAACTGAAGCAATCCCACAGGAATGGAAAGATGCTAATATAATGACCATCTACAACAAGAAAGCAAAGTTGATTGTCGTAATAGTAAGGGTATATCCCTCTTAGCTACACCGACTGGCAGAGCACATGACTGAAAACATCCTCACAGAGATTCAATGCGGATTTATAAAAGATCGTAGTACGTAGATATGATCCTTGTTCTAAAGACAAACAAAGAGTTTTTCATAACATTTATTGACTTGACCAAGGCCTCTGACACAATCAATTGTGAACTTCTCTGGTTACTGCTATACAAGTTCAGAGTGCCACCCAAATTCAGGAACATCATCCAACAATTTCACAGATTCCTACGAACTAAAGTTTTGGCAGGAGAACTAGTGTCTGATCCCTTCAGTGTCGGTGTGAAGCAGGGATGTGTCTTAGCCCCTACCATCTTCAACATGTTCCTTGTAGCAGTAACCCTCCTCTTGCACAACATCTTTAATGAAGACAATGGTGTAAGCATACAATACCGCCTTGATGGGAGCCTTTTAACCTATGACGCCTCCAAGTCCACACCAGAACATAAGTTCAGCAGATCAATGAACTCTTTTACACGGATTACTGGGCCCTCGTATCACACACCAGGTTAATATGCAACGTGCCTTTGACACCATCTCGGCCAATTACAAAGCCCAAGGTCTCAAAGTTACACCAAGAAGACGAAAGTAATTGCACAGTACATTGTGCCTCCCCTGATGTGCAGTCTTCACCATCGACGTCAAACCTCTTAAAGTTGTCCACCCCTTTACTTAACTCGAAAGCATTTTAGCACTATCCTGCACAACTGACCATGAAGTCCAGGCATGCATTAATCATGCCTCTTCTGCCTTTGGATGTCTACGATCGAGGGTATTTCAAAACAAAGACCTCAAAGTCAGCACCAAAGCTGCTATGTATCATGCAGTATGCATCTCCATATTGCTCTATGGGTCAGAGACCTGGACCCTGAATAGGCGCCATATTAGGTCCCCGGAAGTGTTCCACATTAAATGTCTGCAGCAGATCTTGAAGCTATCTTGGAAAGCTCAAATAACCTATGATGAGATTTTTCGCCACACCCAAACCACGAGCATTGAAGCAATCCTTGCATAAAAACAACTCCACTGGCTGGGGCATGTCATCAGAATGCCTGAGCACCATCGCCTGCCTCACCAAATACTGTACAGCCAACACCATCAAGGCAAACAATAAGGTGGCGGTCAGCAGAAAAAGTTCAAAGACCATCTCAAGAAATACAAGGTGCAGCCTCCACCCCAGGAGAGGCTGGCAGTTGACTGACTTGTGTCAAGGTTCACCTGTACCAGAAGCACTCAGCATCTGGAGGACAACCTGAGCAGGAGAACAGAAAGGCGCATCCAACGACACCAACACACTGCAGGAGCTGACTCTCCTAGCCCACAACACCAGTCCCACCTGCGGCTCCCACATCGGCCAACACAGCAACATGAATTGGCATCAAAACCGTCGGCATTAAATCCGCACCCTATTATAATCAGGAGCAATGTTGTCATAGGCCCACGGTGGACTGCCATAAGCAATACGCAGAATTTTGCACAGCACATCGCAGTTTAAGTCCTGCGTTCATATGTATAGTATCAGTGCAGCGCACCTCATTTCCTACACCCATTTACAAAAACATTTTATGGCGTATGTATTATCTTTAATGGGGATACTTGAAGGTTTTAAAAAATGGGTAAAATTATGTACAGTAGAGTACGTATTTCAAGAAATGGGAACAATTTCGTAGAATCCCCATTTTAATAGGAAAAACAGTTGCATGATGTAAATTTATCACATATGCTCATTTAGTTTCACATCTGATTTCACAATTGTAGTTGAAAAAATATATATAAACATCATACAGCAGATGTCAAACTGCCACATCACCAGTTTCAACTATGTGTGATGGTGGGGTGAGTTAGGACGGCAGCCCACTTTCAAGAAAGGGTGGAACAGGGTGTGCACCCTCCACCTCCACTGGACCATGAATTTCTGTGTTGAACTGTACCTACTACATAGTTATTACTGATTCATTACTAAGCAATACTAACCAGCACTATGGAAGTGACGGCATAAAGAAATAGTTTAACTCTACTCTACCTTTCCCTACATCCCAGAGAATGGCTGAGTTATCTACTGATCCAGTAATGAGAAACTGTGAACATTTGGACCAGCAGATATCATAAACATCCTCTAAATGGCCTCTCAACATCTTCAGGATCGTCCAGTGTTCCTTGTTCTCCTTTTCTGAATCATCCACAAAAATATCAACACTACCAGATGAATCTTGCTTTTTCCACAGGATAACAGCTGCCTCTGTTGAGTAAGATATATATATTTTAATACAGAATATAATAACTGAAGGAATAATCCAGGAATCCCATTTTATGGCTAAGCCTGTTAATAGGCAGCTTGAGTACATGCTCATTAGGCCATCAGTCTTGGGTCCTGGTAACCTTTACATAAGTGGCCATAAGCAACAACATCCCTATAAGATGGACAACTATAAGCCAAGCTTTTATCCCTCTAGGACGGGTTTTCAAACTGAGGTATGCCTGGGGTTTAATACGGGGTACATCTTTATCTTTTCAGCATCATATAAGTACAGTAACTAAAAAAGTATCTGTCCATACTCTGTGTAAAACATTATGAGACCAAGGATGATAGATATTGGTACATGCATTTAATTTGGTATACTGTATATATAGTTTAGCGTAAGTACAGTCATACAAGGTGTATTATTTTGGCATAATTAATATGATGTTCAGTTACCAAATGTAGTAGGAGCAGTATGCCACAGAGCCACACAGACCAACCCTCTTGGGACATCACAAGTTGCATATAACTTTTGGAAGTCATCAGACCCATCCTGGCAGATACTTTTTTTAGATACTGTACATTAGTTATAAGTATGCATTCATTTTTCAGCTGATTTCTAAGTTTGTAATTTTTTTTCCTATTTCAAATTTTACACAAACAAACTTCAAAAAGCAGAAAAGCACTTCAACTGACTCGTTACCAAAACTATTAACAAGTCTTGTTGACATTACCCTTCCTGTAAATTACCATTAAAAGTTCTTCCCTTATTCTATACAGGGGGTACTTAATGAGTAAAAAATTTTGACCACTGACCCTAAAAGGGTGACCTTGATTTCCATGACAGGGACCTATAACCAACCTGTTCATGACAAATGATCTTGTTTACATTAATTTGCTTTAATATTACAGTAAAAGTCCAAAAATCCGGATGCCAGAAATCCGGACTTTTCGAAAACTCAAACTTTTTTTTTTAGTGGGCTTTTGTGTGTATGTGCGCATGCGTGAGCGCCACAGCTGCACAGCGACAACAAGCGACCACGTGGTCACCACTTTAAAACGAGCAATCAAACTGTGACAACATATGTAATTTTGAGTCCTACCCTTTCCATTTACAGAGTATACTGTACAAGCCCATAATAATGGCTCCTAAAGTAGATAAACTTCGTTGTGTGAAGAGAAAGAAGAACACGTTGAAATTGAGTGACAAACTTGAAATAATTAAGAAACTAGAACGTGGTGGGAGCAAGACTGTTCTAATGGAAACATGCAACATTGGAAAGTCTACAATTTATGATATAAAAAAGGGCAAAGAATAAAATTCTAGAATTCACAGCTTTTTCTTTAAAACTGCTCATTTTGATAAATGAAGCATGCTATATTTGCTAATGAATAAACTATCAAAATGTACCTGTTCATCTCTTCTTTATTCCTCCTTAAATTTGAATTTTAAAAGTACTGCCTGAGAATCCGGAAAATCCGAAAATCCGGACCAACCCAATCCCCAAGCAGTCCGGATTTTTGGACTTCTACTGTATCATGAAAATCCCTCCACTGGTTCAAAAATCATACTGTGAACACTGAAATACCTACAGTCCTTCTGACCTCCAAATGTAATCTTAATCTGTATGAAAGGGGCCTGGGAGTTGATGGCAACACCATCTTGTGGGCATTAACCCTTCTTTATTTAATAAAAAATTTCCAGTTTCAAAAGTTATAGGGTGGATATGAAATGCAGATCACACTAAGGGTCAAAATATCAAAACCCTCAAGTTCTTTACATACACAGTACTGTATTCAAATCAAAAGGCTTCAAAATCAAAGGCACTTACCATCATCAGCTGAGGCCAAGATCTCTCCATCTGGTGAAAATCTGACTGCATTGACTGCTCGATTGTGTCGTGTAAGGTCACTCAATGCTTCCACACTTACTCCACCATTGTCCAACACACACAACTGCCAAATCTTAAAAAAATAGATTTAAAAATTAATTCTAGTAAATAATTCTCATAAGCATTACAGAACAAAATAGTGTACAGTACTTGTAATACATGTATACTGTATACAAAAACATTATTTGACTAAACTTATTCAGTATCAAGGGTCACCAAGTAGTGTATAGTACAGTAAACCTTCGCACCTCTGGACCTCTCAAATCCGGATATCGGTTGGTCAGGACGACGTATGGATGTGGTAAATTCATATGTGGTCTCTCTCTCAGACCATATGCCGCATTTACTCCCACGCTGCTTAAAATGGACCCTGTCCACATCTCCCGCCACCACTCACAGCACACGTCCCTCCTCAGTCTCAGTGTGTACACACCATCTCGCTACCTCTCGATCGCCCATTTGTTGTTCCTCGTGTATTTTGTGCCTTGTAACTGTTTTTGCGCCTGATTTCTTGTGACTGTTGTGAAGTGTATTGATGGTACCCAAAAGGAAGTGCATGCAGCTTACTGTAACTCAGAAGCTGGAGTTATTACAGAAGTTAGAGAGTGGTTGGTCTGTAGCGAGATGCTGTTAGCGAATATGGCATCGCTAAGCAAAAAGTGTCTGATACACGAAAGGCTAAGGGTTCCCTGCAGTCATTTGCAATGAAATATAGTCCAGATTCTTCGACTTCTAAGACGACTGTTGGAGAGCGCAAGCTGATGTACAATCAAAGACAAAAGTCGTGTCGCGGTTTTGTCCAAAGATTAAAAATATTCGTGAAACACTATGAGAGCCCCCTACCACAAGTCAGAGCGCACCAAAAGTTTAGCCCTTCGGCATACGTTTTCACCAAATTTCACAACAGGTCGCTCGACCTGTGTCCGGGTGGGCTAATTCCCTTTAAAAAATTAAATAAATAAATAAATAAAAAAATTATTATGATTATCGTTAACATGCCTTCATCTCTCGGTTCATCCGGACATTTGCCACGTCCGGACACCTTCTCCCCCCTAATTGTCCGGAAGTGCGAAGGATTACTGTACAGTACTGTATATGAAGACATCTCAGGTTAACATATTCGGTATTAATGAGAAATGCATCCATTGAATGCAAATGACCATACCAGAAACCTACAAATTAAAAAGCAGCATTATCACTAATATATAAACACAATATGTACAAGATATCCATACCCTGTACTATAGGTACAGTATATGAATACAACAAGTTGTAAATACAATCAAAGAAAAACATACAAACCCACAAACCATCCACAGTTCTGGTAAAAGTTGCCCTGTCATGTCCAAAAAACAACCAATGTTGGAGGGGGTTTAAAATGTGTATTTTGTCATCAAAAGACCAAAAACATGCATAATTTTAAGCTCTGGGCATTTAAACTTACCACTACGCATCATTATATGTCATGTAAATCCACAATGAAAACGTGGATAAGATAAATCTTGATAAAATCACACGGGAAAATTTTAACAACGGAGCACCTTAGCTTTCGTCTTTATTCAAGACATCTTCAGAGGCAACTCTGAAGATGTCTTGAATAAAGACGAAAGCTAAGGTGCTCCGTTGTTAAAATTTTCCCGTGTGATTTTATCAAGATCATTATATGTGCGTGCATCTCGGGGAATTCCCCAGGGCCTCTCAGGCAAGCTAACCAAATATGAATGTAAAATGATTTTTTCTATTTTGTATGGTAATGGGAAAGAAATCACAAGATTTACTGCCACACACAGGAAATTTACTTGTTTACATAATCAACTTATTATCCCACATTACAGTACATCATACTGTCCCCCATAAAATTTTGCACAACCAACCATTTAAAGCTAATTTTGGCCCTTTAAATCCTCCCCACTTTCTACAGTTATGAATGGGAAGAGAAATGAGCTCAAGACAGCTGAGAAGATAGATGAATTCATTCTTTTGTGACAGCTGTCCAGTAAAACCTGCACTATGTGTATGTGATCCATACTTTGCATTACAGTACCTGTACTGTATATCATACACAAAAGACATACAAACAGGCATGCCAGTGTAATTGGACTAAATAACTGTAAAGTAATTGAAGTTGGACAATTGTAAAGAGTATCTTTACCTACAAAAATATTTTCCCTTATGTAACAAAAAGGTTTTATTATAAACACATACCACTGTAAAGTACCTGTATACACACACACATTTCATGCTAGCAGGCTTTCCACATGCCTGAATTTGATGCACAAAAGCTCCAACAGTGGCTGAGCAGTTTTGGATAGATTTTACAAATACACATCAGAAATGAGCGAATGTGCATCAATTAGAACAAAGTGTTATACTGTATAGTGATTTAAAAAATACAGGTACTGTATGTGAACGTTTCCCATGTAAATTATTTCTTCTCTGTCAATTTCCACATTACCAGTTACATTCCCAGATTTACTAATATTTACAATATCCCATATTACCGGTACCTTTCCTTCTATACAAGATTATTAAAGTACAATAGTTCATCCTTTGGCCACTCATCTGGTAATAATCTTAATTTACAAGCCAATTGATATACTGTACTCACAGTATACCAGAAATAAATATTAGCTTGTGCAGAGTAACATACTTATATGTCTTCAGTCTACACCATATAGAAAAACAATATCTGAAATTTAAAAGAAAATGTAAAATTTTAGAATAGATACTAGTTCATATAACTGTACATATCTAAAATAATTAAGGATCCTGGAAGAGATGGCTAATACCAGAAGGCGTTCAGTTTCAATCCTTTTTTCCACAGACGTTATACAGGTGCTCCTCTACTTAAAAACATTCAACTTACAAACTTTCAGAGATACAAACATCATCACTGAGGGGGGTTACCTGCCAGAACAGATGTTTAATGTGGATGAGACTGGATTATTTTGACTAAAATTCCAGATAGAACAAACATTACCTAAGAGGAGAAGAGTGAGCCAGGTTTTAAGGCTGTATTAAAGGGTATTGCTGTTCTAAATATCCATAATATTTTAATTTTTTATAATATGTTTGGTATCTACATGAGGAGCACCTGTAATCATTATACTGTAAAGATATCCCCTACATTATGGAATCCCGTTCTACGGAAATTGGCCCTTCCGGAATTTTGAAATTATGACCAAAAATTTGGGATACGGAAAAAAGATCGCCCAAGAGGCGACATTTACTAGAACCCAATCAAATCTGACCTAACCAACAAACGAAACCTACTTAACCTTACTAATTTTCTAGCTGAGGGGCTCTACCCCCTGGACCCTCCACCATATTAAACAGAAAGTAGTTATTTTGACATCTAATACCAATAAAAGCAAAGATTTTTGTGGACGTGATTGTATACTTGGACTGAACAGGTCAGTTGTAAACAAACGGACGACACGGTGACTGCAAATTTTTCAGAGCAGTATTTATGGTATACCGGTAAATAATTAATTTATTTGCATACAAAGAACATCATTTTAGTCATATGATAAGTTTTCACTGTGTTTTACCCTGCAATTTCCCTCATCCTTATGCTGTGCCCATTACAAGTGATTTATGATCATAAGAAGAAATATATATACAGTACATATACTGTATAATTAAAACAAAAAGTTGTCGCCTCTTTTAAAATACAGTCCTTACTACAGTACAGTATAATGATAAAAACATCCGTGGAAAAAATTTATGAAATTGAACAAACTTCTTCTGGTGTTAGCCTTCTCCAGTATTACCATAATTAATAATAACATAAAAGTTATATTACCACTATTCAATGAAGTGTCACAAAATCAGCAAGTCATCTTGAGAGTGTTTCCATTTACACCTACCACAATATGCGTATCTGTCCCAGCTGTAGCCAGACGGTAAATGCCATCCTGAGGGTTGGGCTGTATATCTAAGGACAACACCGGGTCTCTGTTATGCCACGAGATCTCTGGAATGGTGCACTTCATGGCTACTTTCTGCAGAGGAAAATGTTTTGCCAATGATCATTTGAATAGTTTTTGTGTTTTCTCACCTTGATAACTTAGTGCCGGAGAACACTGTTTATTGTACAGTAAAATTTTCCATTAGGTGCCCATTATAAATACTGTAGCTTTTCTGTATCCTTTATTTAGTACTGTAAATGCTTATTAGTTCACTTATATTGTACAAAAATCTACAATAAGATGGATGAAGTGGCAACATTACAAGAGGACCTACAAAGACTTGAGACATGGACAAACATGGAAAATAAATTTTAATACAGAAAAATGTAAAGTACAATGCACTATGGCTACAGATATTTAAACCAAAATTATTATATAGATGACTGAAAACAATTTGGAATCTGTTAATAAAGTAAAGGATCTAGGAGGTTTATTAATGACAAGCAATCTAAAATTTGGTGACATCTCAGAAATAGCAAGAAAATCTAACCAAAAGTTAGGCATGATTAAATCTTCCTTTGACTACATGTGCCTATCTTAATCCTGTATAAAAGCTACATGAGACTGCACTTAGAATATGATGTAAAAGAATGGTCTCCATATCTTAGAAAAGATATAGAGTACGATAGAAAAAATACAAATAACCACCAAAATTTTTCCTGAATTAATATTCTGCCTTCTGAAGAAAGATTACATCAGCTGAAGCTAACTACACTGGAAGATAAAAGAAAGAGAGGAAACCTGATAGAAACATATAAAATGGAGTTGAAGATATCAATTGCAAACAATTCTTTCAAGAAAATTTCACGAGTTAAGGAGACACGATAGAAAAATATATAAGAAACAAAGCACTAAAGGTATTATTTTAGTTTCAGTCATCCAGGGAATCTTAGGTCAGAGGGTTGTGTGGGAGGCAAAGTATCTCCCCCCCTCCCACTCTATACTTCCTGGGTTCTGTGGCTAGGTTAGGGTGGTGGGGTTGGGTTAGGGATGACCAAAACAAAAATTTTACTGCACTAAAAATAATAAGAAATACTTCCTCTCACAGCAAGTGGTAAACACATGGAACAAACTTTTAAATAATACAAAAACCCTACCACAGTCAACCTAACCTAACCTCACAGGATAGCCAAAACAATAATAATACCCCTTAACCTAACCTAACCTAATAAAAAAAAAAAAATTACCATATCAGAACTCACCGATAAAAATATAAACATCAAAACAAATAACACGTTGGGGGTATAGTTGTCAATATTAGCCAAGTTCTCTTGCCTGAATTACTTGAACACTCAACAAAGGGTATTATTATTGTTTCGGTCAGGTAGCGATTATTAAGATTTTATGTTTAGGTTAGTTAAGGTTGGATTTGGTTAGTTTAGGTTGAATTTGGTTAGTTTAAGTAGGAATAGGTTAGGTTGAAATTAGGTTAGGTTAGGCTAAGTTCCTACTAATGCTATTTTACCGTAAGTGCGCTCTGATTGGCTAACGTCCATTACCGGCGAACAATGAGAGAACTATATTTGACAGTGACTGGCAGCATTTGGCATTTATTTTGCCATGAATCAATCATTGTGTACCACTAAACATACCTACCCTAACCATATTTCTGTTGTGCATGGAAACTTATAAATGTAAAAGAGGAAACATTTACTAGAACCTAATAAAACCTGACCTAACCAACCAAAGAAATCTATCTAACCTAACTTCCTAGCCACGGGGGACCCACCATCATATTAAACCGAAAGTACTTAGCCAATCAAAGTGCACTCACGGTAAAATGCAGTATTTTTCCGTATTAACACCCAAGTCACATAAACTACTAATGGCCCTACCACTACTTTATGCAATTCTAAACAACTTTTCTTCAATAAACTTCCGTCGAAAATTACTCGTTGTTGAAATATTGATTTTGTAAAGCAATTATTTTGGAAGGCGACCAAGTCAGCTACCTCCTATCCTCTGCCCGGGCCTTCATCAGAGTAAAGGGTAGGCAGAACAATGGTTAATTATCGGTTAGATTAGATTAGGTTAGGGGGGTGTCATATCTCAGAAAGGAGTGATTTGACAGAAATGGATGGTAGATACAAAAAATCACTAAAAACCTTCCGAAAAAGAAAATTTAAAGTTTCAAAGGGAGCTGGGAGCTAATCAGGAAATTTACCAATAGGGTTAGTAGGAACTTAACCGGTCACGGCAAAATATCCAGGAAGGTACGAATTAAATTTTAATATTTTGCACAAGAAAAATATATGAAGCATAAAAAAACATTTGTGTTTACTGATAATGAGACAGCCTGACACTTTACAACTAAAATAACGTTAACTTGATGGGATCTACACATGACATGTCCAAAAACCTTAATTGTAGGACTATTGACAGCCATTCAAATTTTGGCGACACTAGTTAAGGTACATGTTTGTCACTACAGTATTTGACATTTATTCCCTCACCGCCTTATTACTAAACCTAGCTAATCCACGTGCGACTAATAATTTAGTTTCGGTGTCCTAGGTGTATTATTAGAGTAATATTTACGTGAAGGCCTTGTTTCCAGTTGAAAGTTCTCCGCCTCTTCTTTATTTCCTTAACACTAAGTTCCCGCGCAATCAGCTCATGTTTTTCTCTCAATAACAAACAGGTTCAGTGGTTCTATGTTAAATAAATCGAAGAATAAAAATAAATTAGAGAGATACTCCAAATTATTTATTCATATTTAATTTAAAAAAAATAATTAATGATGTTTTGAAGTACTATCTGTATAACCCTATGGAGACGATTTGGCAAAATAAAGAACATGAAATGCGAGGACATATTATATAAGTCTAGCTTGTATGCAAATGTTTGTAGAGAAATGAAAAGAAAGATTGCAGTGGGACATTCTGGTTTTTTTTTTATAGTTTAACAAATTTATTGACATGGTTTGGAGTACAGTTCACCTATTCTGAGTAATTCAGTTAGGTCTTGACACTGAGAGTGGTATCACTTCTCACTGCCACGTAGGACAGAGGTTCATAAGAACATAAGAAAATAAGGAGTCTGCAATAGGCCGGTTGGCCTGTCCATGGCAGCTCCTGTCGAGAGTTACTACCACTCTCTATCATCCATGAATCTATCTAGCCTCCTTTTGAAACGTTCCAGAGTTCCAGCACTTACTACAAAGTTGCTAAGCTTGTTCCACTCGTCCACCACCCTATTTGTGAACCAGTTTCTTCCTATCTCCCTCCTAAACCTAAACTTATCCAACTTAAATCCGTTGCTCCGAGTCCTATCCTCCTCGGATATTATAAGAACTTTATCTATATCCCCTTTATTGATTCCTTTCACCCACTTAAATACTTCTATCATATCTCCCCACACTCTTCGTCTTTCTAGGGAATGCAAGTTAAGTTTCTTTAACCTATCCTGATATGGAAGGTTTCTAAGTCGCGGAATCATTTTTGTCATTCTTCGCTGCACCGACTCTAGTGAATTTATATCCATTCTATAATAGGGGCACCAGAACTGAACCGCATAATCGAGGTGCGGCCTGACTAGCGCAAGATATAGTTGCAATAAGACCTCTGCACTCTTGTTACTCACACTTCTAGATATAAAACCCAATACTCTGTTTGCCTTATTTCGAACATTAACGCACTGTTTTCTAGCACACAAAGAAATACTGTACATCATAGCGTGGATAGAAGACTTTCTACATGACCGCAAGCAATGTGTGGTGATTAATGGCACGAAATCGTCATCTGTACCTGTAACAAGTGGGGTACCGCAGGGTAGTGTATTGGGCCCGCTGTTGTTTGTTTGTTTCATAAATGATATGCCTGACGTTGTACACTCCTCCATACAAATGTTTGCCGATGACGCCAAGTTATTTCGGGAAATTAAGAACCAAGCGGACTGTGAAGAGCTGCAGAAGGACCTCTGTGGGCTCCAGGAATGGTCGAAGGAATGGCTGCTGAGATTCAATGTCACGAAGTGTAAGAGGATGCACCTGGGGCGTACCAACGGTAAGGAGGCGTACCATATGTCCCAACGGGATGAAGAAAATGTACTAGTTGAGACTGTGTGTGAGAAGGACCTAGGTGTGTATGTTGACAATGAGCTGAAGTTCTCGGGCCATTGTGAGAAGAAGGTAAATCAGGCAAATAAATTATTGGGTCTTATAAGAAGGTCGTTCAGATATCTAGACGGTCCGTCCCTCGTGACGATCTTCAGGAGTGAAGTGCTTCCCCATCTGGAGTACTGTCACCCCATCTGGTCCCCGAGATATGCTAGGGACTGTCAGTTGGTTGAAAATGTTCAAAGGAGGGCCACCAAGCTGGTGCCTGCACTTCGGCATCTCAGCTACCCTGCGAGATTGGAGCGCCTGAACTTGCCTAGCTTATACTACAGACGGGCAAGGGGGGACCTAGTTGAGGTTTATAAGCATCTCAGGGGGCACTACTCAGTTGAGTGTCCTTACTTGGAGCTGGCGGACGCTCGCCCCACAAGGGGTCACAGCTCAAGATTGAAGAAGCCGCAAGTCCGGAAAACCGTGAGGGCAAACTTTTTCGGAGTGAGGGTTGTAAACTCTTGGAACAATCTACCAGAAAGTGTTGTGACGGCACCGAGTGTGAGCTCTTTCAAGAGAAGACTTGACCAACACTGGAGCGGGTTCAGGTACATTCAGGAGCCGGTGCATGCCCAGTATTTGCCAACAGTGCGTGACAGAGACGTGACCGATCGCCCGGGCGGCTAGCGAGCCGACCTTTTGGTGAAGAATATAAAGGAAAAGAGTCGTGACCGATCGCCCAAGCGGCTAACAAGCCGATCAGTGGCGAAGAGGATAAAAGTAAAGTAAAAGTAACAGTATATATAGGTCAGATTCATGTGGGTGATGTCACTGTTCACTTTCATGCAGGACAGAGGTTCATGGATTAAGTGAATTAAGATGGACAGGTTCAAATAGCATTAGTGGTGAAGATTCTTACTTTATATAGTCAGGCGCTACCTTAATTATTTGTTATGAGACTTTTGCCTTTTATCCTCTTCGCTTGGACGTTATAATTTACTGGGGAATTTCCAATACTAACGACGCATCACGAAAATTGTATGCTATTTCAATTTCAAACAGGAAAGTGTATATAAATACACTATATGATAAAAAGTGCAAATTTCTCATTTGTACCTCATGACCTCATTTGACCTTTGTAAAACTTTAACCCCGAAAGCGAAAACCTGTCTTACCACAACATATCACCTCCACCCCCACCCTCCTTGTGGAGGACTTCAATGCCCGACACCCCAGTCTCTGGTCCCAGGAGCCCCTCCCAGACTTCCGGGGTAACTCCTGACTTTCTTACCTACAAACCACTGATGGCCCTGTTACCAACACCTCTTCCCTCCCTGAACCAGATATTCCTCCTCCTTGACATTATTAGGGATCTGCCACGCTATGCCATAAACAGATAAATTGTACCGAGAATTTTCCCTCCACACTCTGTCACTTCGTGTAACTTGCTGACAAAACCCATGACCCTTCAGGCTTTTACACCCTTAATGCATGAGTCATGAAGGCAAACATGAACTACGCTTGCTTCCCAGATGGGCACTGTAAACGTTTTTGCGCTTCACCTTGCACAGGATGCAAGGGGGTGCCCAATAAACTAGCCCCCTCGGGGGCAAATTTAAAAACAAAAAATATAAAGCGAGTGGCAGTATCTCTGAAAATATTCCGAGAACATACACGAAGCATTTTGTAGCTGTCGTCACATTCTACTCTGAATGTTTTTAACACTACTTACGAACAGAATCAGAGGCGGATCCAGGAATATCAAAAGGGGCAGGGTTCAGTCCAAGAAGTTGTGGGTGGCAGAACATGGCGAGCACAGCTAGCCCACCCAGCTTAAGTCACGTGCACTTGATATTAAGAGATATTCTGAGTTCAATAGTAATCACCTTTTACTTTACAAAAAAAGCCTGAGTACAATAAGGTATTGGAATTTCTGCCCTTGAGAATTTAGTTAAGTAGTTTGCACCCAGACTATAATTATCATTTCACCACTTATCAACTTACTCGGCGTTCGCAGAGGAGGAAACCGGAGTTCAGGAAACCTGTTAAATTTGGCAAGGTCACACTGGAAAAAATTACTTTATCCTGACGCAAAAACAAAATCGCGTATTTTCGATCTTGTATTAGTGCCATAAAATGGACATTTATATTTAGATTATCAATAAGTTATGCCCCAGCGTTGTTTGTATGCTCCGAATTTTTTACCCTTGGGGTTGAAGAATGTTTTATAATATTTTGGAATTTTACAAATATATGCCTTATAAAACAAAAAACAAAAAAATTATGAATATGCACTTTAGCTAAAAAAATGGCTAAAATATGCATTTGCATATGCACATATGCAAATGCATAATTATCCCAAGTTATCATATTTATGTATATCAACTCCACTGTAAAGTATCTATTTACTTATAAATAATATAATGTAAACAAAAATAACAATAAAATAAAACAAAATAATAAAAATAAATATCGAAGTGATAATCATGGTAACATTCTGATGTTCTTACCATGCTATGTCCCGTCACATATAGGAATAACTGCCTGTGACACTGTTGATCGGCTTGCCAAAGAAGCTACACAAGAAGAAGATATTGAAGCCACTCTCGCCCTCTACCTGAATCATCTCAAATCTCGCATACACGCCACACAACGAGAGGCATTCGACGAAAATTGGACACACCTGAAACAACGGGGCAGCGTCACACTATGCCACTATGACGCTGTAACCGGTGACGACAACCGCCACTACAAAGAGTATCAATCCCTGAGTCGATCTCAACAGATTATGTACATGAGCCTGCCTCTAGGGTACAGGTACCTATGGGAGTACATTCGCAACCCTGAGCCTCACCGCACTGTTTGTAAACTTTGTGACCAACCCGACACACACCCTCTCTCACTACATCCTCACTTGCCTTATGACCTTCCCCTACAGGTCCCCAGCCGTTACCAACACCTCTTCCCTCCCTGACCAGATATCCCTCATCCTAGTGACTGGCCTGGCACTTGACATTATTAGGGACCTGCCACGCTTTGGCATAAACATGAAATGTACCGTGAACTTAACCCCCCCCCCCCACACATTCATCATTCTCTCGCTTTATGTAACTTGACAAAACCTATGACCCTTCAGGCTTTTACGCCCTTAATGCACGACTCATAAAGGCAAGTATGAACTTTGCATACTTCCCAGATGGGCGCTGTAAACGCTTCTGCGCTTCACCTTGCACAGGATGTAAGGGGGTGCCCAATAAACTAGCCCCCTCGGGGGCAAATCTGAATTTGAACATGTTATGTACATGTGCGTACAAGAGAGTTCAGCTCTCAGTGCCTCAGTCATGTAAATATAATTATTTTTTTTTCAACTCTGTATCTATGTTCTTCTGACCAAATAAACTGTTTCAATATCAATATCAATATCAAAAGTCGCAAGGAATCGCATGTTTCTTTTAGAGTAAACTATCTGTCGTACGATAAGCAACAAGTATTACCAGATCCTTCCATTCCCATAGACTTACCATTCGCTCTTTAACTTTTTAGATATCAGTGTGAATATTTTCTTTAGTAACTGAAAATTACATAGTCTTCCTCTCGGTACATTTCATTTTGTACATCTACTTTAATGTCATTTCGGTTTTCATAGTTGCTATATTCCTTTGCATATATCATATACCGGTATGTGAAAATAATAATAAATTTAACCATGTAAAGCTCAAATTTATGTATAGGGTACTGTATAAAAAGAAGAGTTTAAAAGGAAGATGATTTTAATTCTAACAACATATACTGCTATTATTTTTATAGCAAATTGAAATACAGTACTTAAGATACTGCGCGTGTGTGTGTGGTGTAGTAGGTTGTGGGAGGTGAAGTCAGAGGTGGCATCAGTGAGTCTCACTCAGGTCCAGACACCACCCAAGCAGGCAGCAGGACATTGGCGACGCAAAAAACTTTCATAGTGTAATATAAATCGTTTGCAAACTATTCTCCCACTTCTGCCAGCAGAAGTTTGACTCCTGAAGGTTAGTGTATGGTTCGTTTGTTGTAAAGTGAACTAACAGTTTCTCATTTATTAAATTGACGATGGAGAATTATAATGGTGTGCTGCGTCACAACCCACGTCATGTAATGTCACATGATACACATGATATTCCGTTTATACTCTGATGTCACGAATATTCTTCATAATTTATAGAAAGCCACAACTATGATTGTTTTCCTAAGTTCATGAAATAAGGTCTATATCGTAATTCCTGTTAAATTTTTATTATATATGGTGGTTAGGGGAGAAGGTTCTTGGGTGTGTATCAGTCCACCGGATGACAGTTAAGGTATTAACTACTCTATTATCTTTTACGATAAACTCTCGACTGATCTCAGTGATCTGTCGTCCTGACCAATTAAGAAAACAAACAAGGTTAAAATATTCGGGAAAATTCGACAACGGAAAATACTAAACAAAATAGGCTTTTCTTGGGTAAAGGTAGATGAAACGGTTATCACCAGAAGGAACTTGAGGAATTGGTTGAAAAAAAGATTCTGCAAACTAACATGATATTAAAACAGATATGGAAACGACAATGCATATAACCTAATAGAACCTGACCCAACATACCCATAGGTTGTGTATGTTAGGTTAGGTTTTATTAAGTTTATGCATTATTTTGTATTTTTTTATATAATGCTATTAACATTATATTAAACCCAGAAATGGTAACGACAATGAATAGAACCTGACGATCTTTTTATTTACTCTATCCTGCTTCACAATTTATTTACTCTATCCTGCTTCACAATTTATTTACTATCCTGCTTCACAATTCTCCTCCCGGCACTATTTTTGTTGTTTACTTCGCTGAATCCCTTTCAAAGAGACGTTTCCTGTAAATGATGGTGAACACTTCCACGAATTCCTCCGCCCCATTGCTGATGTGTATCAACCCCAATATTAAGGTAAGTTATTAAACACATAAATTAACATGATAATGCATAGAACCTTATAGAACCTGACCTAACAAACCCATTGGTTGGATATGTTAGGTCAGGTTCTATTAGGTTTTATGCATTGTCGTTTCCATTTTTGTGATAAATATCATGATAATAGTGTGTAGAAAAAATTTCAACCAATTCTGACAATTTCTTCTGGTGGTCACCCTTTTCTACACTTCTACCCAATAATTATTCGGATCATGACCGTCCACTATTTTTCATTGAAAATGGATTTAAAAATACCCAGTTTTCACTGTACGTACTGTATTATGTTGGGAAAAAATATAAAAATGGCTGGAATCATGTGCTTACCTAACCTAACTTAACCTAACATACTTGTATTTAGAAAACTAAGCATTTACACAAGAAAATGAACTGAATTGGTAAATTTGCAGTGGTACTGTATTAGAAAAAGTTGTTCCTATTGACAAGATCTAACTAATGTAAACACAAAAGTGCTCAAACCTAGTTGGGGTTGAAACTAATAATACCCTGAAAGTAATTAGTATACAAAACTCTGTCTAAAAACACCCTCATAATTACTGAGCTACTGACGGCCGCATCCAGTATATTAGCCCAAGCAGTACATTGTTTACATCTGTCAAATCACAGCTGATGATGCGACTGTAAGAATGCTATCTTAACTTGCCTATATCTAGAAAACTAAGCATTTTCCCAAGAAAATTAATAGAAGTGAAAGTAATAAGAACATATGAAAATAAGGAGTCTGCAATAGGCCGGTTGGCCTGTGCATGGCAGCTCCTGTCGAGAGCTACTACCACTCTGCATCATCCATGAATCTATCTAGCCTCCTTTTGAAACTTTCCAGAGTTCCCGCACTTACTACAAAGCTGCTAAGCTTGTTCCACTCGTCCACCACCCTATTTATGAACCAGTTTCTTCCTATCTCCCTCCTAAACCTAAACTTATCCAACTTGAATCCGTTGCTCCGAGTCCTATCCTGCTCGGATATTATAAGAACTTTATCTATACCGTATCCCCTTTATTGATTCCTTTCACCCACTTAAATACTTCTATCATATCTCCCCGCACTCTTCGTCTTTCTACGGAATGCAAGTTCAGTTTCTTTAACCTATCCTGATATGGAAGGTTTCTAAGTCCCGGAATCATTTTTGTCATTCTTCGCTGCACCGACTCTAGTGAATTTATATCCATTCTATAATAGGGGCACCAGAACTGAACCGCATAATAGAGGTGCGGCCTGACTAGCGCAAGATATAGTTGCAATAAGACCTCTGCACTCTTGTTACTTACACTTCTAGATATAAAACCCAATACTCTGTTTGCCTTATTTCGAACATTAACGCACTGTTTTCTAGGCCGTAGATCCGGGCTTACAAATACCCCTAGGTCTCTTTCACAAGTCGACTTCTCTAATCAGCGTATAAAACTGTCTACAAACACCCCCCATAATTATCGAACCACTGATGGTCATGAGTTGTATATTAGCTCAGATGGCTAACACCTGAAGTTGTTCAATTTTGTTAATTTTTCACAGATGTTCTTTGGGTATTTCACTTCTTGCCACTAAACGAATCCCTGGAATTTTATAGTTGCAATTGGTAATTTTGACAATTCTAAGATGCTTTTCTTCATTCACCGGTGGTGAGCATTATAGTCCAATGTAATTCCTTTATGGAATCTCGTATTACCACTGCCTTCACTTGGAACTTTATGGTCTTTGTCTACTCATCTTGAATATGGGTACAGAGTAACACAGATGCATAACTGAACTCAAATTGGGGCAAGAATTAAAACTGTTTTACCAGGCCATTGTTGTTGTGGCTGCTAGCAGCTGGAGAGGTGAGTTGGCCACCAGCGGTCATTTAGCTACCACCAGATTCCACACGAAAGAAATTGTATAATTTTGGTGAAGTTTTTTGTTCTTCATCGCAATATTTTTCTTTTGAAGGTCTTAATAAATTAACCATAATTCCGTGAGGGCACATAGTACATTCCTGAACACAGACACATAGCTGAACATAAGATAGGGAATTCTAACTGAGCAGACCAATGTTGTGGTGGTTGCTGGTAACTGGGGAGGTGAGCGGCCTTTCAACCGCCTTGTGGCTTCCACAGAGAATCCTCGTGAAATAATTTTTAGCATTTTGGTAAGAATTTGGGTTAAAATCTCCTTTTTCCCCCCCCCCTCTCTGTTTATTTATTGATTTGTTTTCGAATTTAAAAAAATTGCCAAAATTCGTAAGGGCAATTTTTTTTCCATAACCCGAAATTTGGGTCATAATTAATATGGCAGCATGGAACACAAGTGAACAAACCTGGAGACTTGGAGAAGAAATCACAGAGGGAGTGATTTCCCCTCGCGCGCGCCATACTGTATATACGGGCCTGAGGGCATATCCCTACTAGAAAAACTAATATTACTAACAATAGGCCCTCTATTCAAAGTAATTGTTGGACACCTAGCTGTGACCGTCAGTGTCACAGATCAGGCTAATTTTCTACATCTATATATATGATTTAATCAGAGATTGAGTTTGTCAGTAAAGAGGTGAAATGGAGTTATATATGCGTTCGCAACTCTATTGGCCTGACATCAAACCACATCCCAGGTCAAACTGCCGTTAAGTCTTGGAGAATTTTGAGTTTGACAGGAACTGTTCAGGAGATTAATGACTTTCTTAAATAAACAACTGACACTAACTAAACTATAAACATCAGATTCTCTGATGTTGGGGCGACAAAATAATATAACTTCAGTTGCGATCAGAAACTCATGGGTATCCCCACGGATGACATAAAATACGCCACTCTAGCTGGCAAACTCAACACTCGCTTACTTGACACGTCTTACTAGCAATAAGGACAGTTGAAGCGCTCAACACCACTCACAATGGATCTTGACTGTTCCAACTGTAAACAGACATATCTAAGTAGACTCAAAACAAGGGTGTTCTCTGTCACATTCAAATTCATTTTATAGAGAGGTTGGTTTCAGTAAGTCAGAGAAAATGGGATAACGGAGGACTGGGGTGTCTTGAAGTGATGAGAAAACGGACTCCTCAGATGGAGGACTCAAAATAAAAGCAGAGTTACATGTTTTGTGGGCTATTGAGCGTAATATGAATCATTTGATTTTGGCGCTAACTGACGTGTATGACCGTGGTTGTTACAGTGTATAAAAAGAAAGTTTATAAGAATTAGTGTAAAAATATTAGAATAAATTTGCTTGGGAAGATGTATAGTAGTCAACTCATTATTGAGAGAATTATGGTGTAAACTGTGTGATAAGGACAGGAGTAAATCTAGCTTAAGAGGGAGATGAGGATTCGGTGTTTGTTTTTTGACGAAAACATTTATAAGCTAAATAAAATTGTGCTTTGTATGTTAAAATGATTCAGGCTAAAAAATCTGTCTAGGAAGATCATTTTTCAGAGATATCTTTCTGGTTGACCCTTGAACAAAAATAAGTTTCTACTTGTGTATAATGCATTAGATTTTGTTATAGTTTATCAGGGAAATGTAGATACTGTTTAGTACAGTGCCATTATTATATACTGGCTTGTTTATTTTCAGAGTACTGATGACGACAGACCCCAAGATGTCGTATGATTATGAATCCTACACCGAGCCTCTGGCAAGCACTGGCAACATGGAATTTTCTGATAAGTCCATCAGAATGGGCTTCATCAGGTGAGCCACCTTTGACTATCTTTTTATTCTCTATTTTTTTTTTATTCTCTTAGCAGAAAGATTTGGGAATGTTGGCATGGTGCTGTTGGTCTGTTTATCTCTCTCCATCCATGATAGTGTGGTCTCCCCTTCATAAATTTACATGTACCTTACTGTAATGGGTTGATTTCAAATTTGCTTTGAGTGTGTATTTGTTATGTTTTAGCTTAATATTGGTTTGCATGTCTCCAGAAATTTTAGAGTATATTGTTTAGCACTGTTTAACTACAAGGAACAGTTAAAGTCAGAAAAGGGGAAAAGATCGTAGAAGGGTTAAGTTGAAGACTAAACAAAAGAGTTTGTGTAAAGCATAGTGTGGAGTTGTACAGTTGTTGGTTGATCTCCTCAGTAGGGCTAGCTTAACTATGGCCATAAAAAAGAATGTTGACATTGTTTATTCTCATGAAATTAGTTAGGAAATAATTTTATTGCATAAAGCATTGATATTTATCCATTAAAGCATATTTTTTTTTCTACCATGAAAAAATATAAATAAATATGTTTCTCTTGTCCACTTTGACAGGAAAGTGTACATGATACTGATGGCTCAGCTGACTGTAACATTTGGCATGGTTGCAGTGTTCACCTTGAGTGCCGATGTCAACACGTTTGTCAACAAGACTCCTGCATTGTTTTATGTGGCTCTTGCTGGTACCCTGGTTTGCATCATTGCCTTATCATGTTGTGGCAACTTAAGGCGTCGAACTCCTTTTAACTTCATATTTCTTGGCCTATTCACTGTAAGTGTTATTAAAATTTATATTAAAATTTGTATAATGTTTGTATCTCTGTATGTTATGAGAAATTGCCAAAGTAGCACTTCAAAACATTACTTGCACATGCTTGGCCTGTATGTGCTTATACAGTATATGTACTTGTAATTCAGGTGAATCTCGTGCCCCTTATGCCCCTTCACATACTGTTGGTTAGGTTAGTTCAGAGTTATCCTCTTTACCCATATCAGCTTACTTAATAGAAACAGCCAAGAGAACCTTAATATTGAAATAGTTTTAGTTTTGTCACGCTCCCATGAAATTGCCATTATAGCAAATTAGCCGTTACCTGTGGTAGGCACTAATTTATCTGATATACAGTATGTTCTTTTTGATTCTTGCAGGTCTGTGAAGGGTTTTTACTGGGTACAGCAGCAGCCTCATTCACTAAAGGTGAAATCCTTATTGCAGTCGGTGTAACTTTTGTGGTAACACTGTCCCTCACTCTCTTTGCATTCCAGACCAAGTAAGTTCAAGGTTTGCACCTTTTGTTTATAATATCTCATGAGTTTTTTAAATTTACACAAATTCAGTGAATATACTGTACAAGGTGTCCACATTGAAATGAAACCACTTTGAAGCCTTTTAAACTTTTAATGAATAATGCAAAGAGTGGAATATTCACACAGCTCATAGCCAGTATGCTTGAGTTTCATTTGGTGTATGGGTACATCATATTAGGATACGTTAGGGTAGACATTCAACATGTGCACCATTCGTAGCACGTACTCAGTTACAACGGTACTCAGTTTCCCTCCACACGTTTTTTAACATCTTGGGGGTTACGGAGGCCACTGCTGCTGTTATGCGCTCTTTCAGTTACACAAAATCCTCCACTTTTGTGGAGTATACATTGGATTTCACATAACCCCTAAGGAAAAAATTTGAGCTGGACAAGGTCAGACGATCTCGGTGGCCAAGAAATGGGTCTGTCTACCCAGCCAGTGATGTGGCACCCAGTCATCAAGGAAGGAGCAGACATCATGAGACCAGTTGGGAGGAGCCCTATCCTGCTGGAATATGAGGCTTGGTTGGCAGTCCTTTACCTGCAGTGTCACAAACAACTGAAGCATGTTTAAGTAGACATAGACATGGCATGACGCAACCTTTTCACAAAGAAAAATGGGCCGAAAATCTTGTTATGCACTAGACTGCACAGTACACCAATTGTTAACTTTTGGACCATCCCTTTTGACCTCCTGGGTGACATGCGGATTCTCCACTCCCCAGATGTGGCAATAGTGTCTATTAACATGCCCACATGTGTGAAATGTGGCTTTGTTGGAGGACATGACCCAGTTCAGGTACTCAGGTTTTTTTGTCCAGTCTGTGGAGCATAGCATAATTTCTCCTTTTGATATGATCATTCACTCTGAGCTGCTGAACCAGTTGAAGATTGTATGCATAAAGTTGCAGCCATGTGCTTGTGACTTTATGCACAGTCCAATGTGGAATTTGCATTTCGTTAATGGTGCGGTGGATGGGCTTCTTGGGGTTCTGTTGAATGTATACTGTACATACAGTATACATTCAACATCCTCCTGCGATGTTCTGGGCTTTCCTCCACTATACTGTTTTAGAATACAGTGGTCCCTCGGTTAACGAACACAATTCATTCCACAAAATTTTTCGTTAACCAAATCCATTGTTTCAATGGGATATTGGGTAATTGGTTCCAGCTCACAGAAAAGTACATACAAAGTAAAAAAAATGCAGTAAAGTACACTTACTTTGAGGTGAGTATGTAGAAGGTTCCTGGTTAATGATGATGATGGGAATTAGAAGTGGGGGTGAAGGAGAAGGGAGAAGAGAAGGAAGTGGGGATGGAGGAGAAATTACCTTTCAGGGGACCCATGCGTGATGCAGTAATTTCACCAATAAAATTTTAAGTTCACTAGGTGTAATTCAAGATTATTTTATTTAAATCAACACTACACTGCACTATATATTATCAATATGTTAACTAAATTTCTGAATGACCAATTATTTTAATGTAAAAATGCAAAAATATTCAAGACACCAACAAAATCGATGTTCACTCCACTGTCAACAAAGCCAAACTGACGCCTGGTGGCTGAGTCAAGTGGCTGATGGGCGCACAGAAAACTAGTTCCCTGTACTGCATATATTATCAATATGTTAACTAAATTTTAAAATGACATAGAACAGATTACTGAATTGGCAGACTAGTCTTATGGGAGGAAATTTCGTTAATCGAACAGTTCGTTAACCGAGGGACCACTGTCTTGCCAGTCTCCTCAAATTGCTTCATCCATGTGTACAGGTCTCTTCGGGTCGGTGGTTCCTTGCCAAACGTTATACGGAATCGTCATTGCAACAGGGAATGCGATTTCAGTTCATCCATCTGACACACATTTTGCCTTTTCTTGTGGGGGTAATCATAATTCATTCTAAAACAAGAAAAATAAACCTTTCAAGCACAGAAACTTAGATATACTGTATGGTGTGGTAACTGCAAGTTTCAACATCCTCACATTTATACATAAAAATTTTATAGGCCTCAAAATTGCTTCATTTCATTGTGGTCATCCAGTACATTGGAAATACTTTATTTTGGTAAAAAAAATTTTTAATAACTATTTGAAGGTTTGAGCCACATTCCTGGAAGTTAATATACAGTACTGTACATGCCAAAAATTTTACAATGTTTATGATGCTATATTTAAATTTACTACTAACCCTTGTAACCGATGTAATTGTAAATAGATGATGAGTGCCTCCTGTCCTGTTCCTCACAATGATATTTTAATATTGGGAAGATGCTGGAACTAATGTGAAACTACTGTAGTCCATGATGCTGTGTAAGTTAGCTCCAGCATCCATCCAATTAAGAACTTGGAGCTTAAAGCAATTGACAGGCTCTTGTATTTTACTCTGGGTCTCACTAAAGATTTTCTGCTACCTTTTTCTAACCCTACCAGATGCTCTTGGAGGTGTTATGAAGTCATACTGGTAAAGTGTGATATGAATGTGAGAATAAAGGAAGTGTGGGATTTATCGGAGTACAGTACAGTAATTGCTGTGCACATTTTTCCAGGCTGCTCGAGTCACTAAACCTGATGTATCAAGTGTGGGGCAATTTTGGCAGATTCTTGCTTATTCGGTTAACAATGGCCACATGCCAAAATTTATCCCAGTACCGTAGATACTCGTCTATTATTCTACCTCGTTTATAGGTCGACCCTGATTTTTTAACCAAGAAATAATTAATTTATGATATGCCTCATTTATAGGTCGACCCAAGTTTTTGAGGCTAATGGAACAGCAAAACCTTCACTAAAAACACACTACGTCCTATAAACTGAGGGTCGCCGTGCCTGAAACACCAAGCGCCGAAGGCAAATTGTTTACCATTATTACGACACTTTACACTGAAACGTGGGTAGTTTCAGCAAAAATATTGTATATTTCCATTCAAGTATTTATTCAAGTCAATTCGGAGGGAATATTTTTGTAATTCAACAGTTTTTTTTAACTGAAAACCATTCGAAAAGCGATTACGGTAACATCTTTTGAACAACGAAAGAAAGCGAAAGTCGATTGTTTTCGTCATGATTTTATCCCACTTTCCACTGTAATACGTACGTCATTTCAGCAAAATATTACATTTCCGTGAATGTACTATATCAAGCACAGTATGAATAGAATATCATTGTAATATGACAGTATTTTAACCGAAAATTATTAAAATAACGAGTAACATCTCTTGAACATCGGAAGGTTAGGTAAAGTCTTTTGTTTTCGTCGTGTATTTTATCCTAGTTTACAATAAAATACATCACGTTTCAGCAAAGCTACTATTTATTTCCGAGAATATATTAATTCAGGCACAGTTAAGGTAAAATATACCTGTGATGTAACAGTTTTTTAACTGAAAACGATTCAAAAAACACGTGTACCGTCTAGCTGATCCTCAACAGCTGGTGGTGCGTCGTGCATCGTTGTAAACAATATGAGGTTGAGGTGGATTACCTGGTATTATATTATGTGTGAAATATTGAAAAGGTTTTTATTACCGGTATTTTTTGTAGATCAATGAGTACTGTGATACCGTATATATGATATGATAAGTTAGCCTGTGCTAAGAGCTTCAACATAGACTACTGAAAGAACGTTGTAAGGTAATTTATCCTATTGCAAGTTGGTGAGCTTCATCTGCTGAAGGCACTGCATAGTTTTTCATTACTAATTGGTACATATTTTACATTTCCATTGTTTACTGGCAGTAACTGGTAAATATTTTTTATGTCTGAAGCTTGAAGATGCTCCTCGCCCTTCCCATCATGCACGGATTCAACCTAACAATACTATTACCCATGCAGAGGTCGACCCCCAATTTTTTGCCTAAAATTTGGTCTTAAAAACTCGAACTACACACGAGTATATACGGTATTTCAGTATCGCCAAAATCTGCTGAATTAGTGCAGATTCCAAATTAATGAGGCTTGAGTGCAATGCATTTTATGGAATATAATTTTATTTGGCAACCTGTACAGGCAACCTCTGGGGTTACAGAAATTTTCCCTTATGGAATTTTTCCAAATGTGAAAATTTTTCAAACATAAAAATTGCGGTATACCGGATAACAAAGAAATTTACCACAATTTTAAATTTTATTTCGTGTGGATGCTGGGTGGTTGCTACAAGACGGTTGGAAGGTTGCTCACCTACCCAGCACCACAACTATGGTGCTGGTCAGTTAGAATTCTTTCCCCAGCTTGTGTTCAGTTATGCGTCTGTGTTCGGGACTGTATTCGCGTTAAGGGAATTTGGGTTAATTTATTAAATTTTCAAAACCAAAGTTGCGATATAGAAAAAAAAGGTCGCCCTAATTATAAATCTTATTTGTGTGAATTTTTGGTGGTATCTACAAGACGGGGAGCATGTACCCAACAGCGAGCACAACAACAATGGCACTGGTCAGTTAGAATTTTCCCCAGCTTGTGTTTAGTTATGCATCTGTGTTCAGGGCTATTGTCGCCCATATGGAATTATGGTTAATTTACGGTAAAGTATTAAGATTTTCAAAAGAAGAAATCACAATATAGAACAAAAAAATTCACTAAAATTATAACATTTATTTCTTGTGGAATCTGGTGGTAGCTATATGACCGCTGGCGGGCGGCTCACTTCTCCATCAGCCACAACAACAATGGAGCTGTTCAGTTTGAATTATTTCCCCAGTTTGTTTCCAGTTATGCATCTGTGTTACTTGTATTACCCTCGTATTACCCTCATTCAAGATGCATGGGAAAAACCATGAAATTCAAGTGAAAGCAGTGGTGATGAAAGTTTCCATAAAAGAATTACTCTGGACATTAAACTTAATGTTTTAAGGAGGTAACTCCCAGTAACTCCGATTGCACCACCTCTTGCAGCACTCGGCATAGTTTCTGGTGAGTTAAATTTAAGTGTGTGCATTTATTGTCATGTTGCATCATGAATGAATCATTGTATGTGTTTAAATCTGGTTATATTCATTCATATGTGCTTTTATTACTTTTTTGTAAAAAAAATCCATGGGAATGCATCTCGCATTATATAATGGGAAATATGGTCTTGCGATAGGGAAAAATTTTCAGGAATGACTGTTCCGTAATCCGGGGGATGCCTGTACTGTATGTGTATATTGTTTCTAGCGTTGTTTACTTTATTGCAGCTTATGTTACCGTATTTTATTGTTAATGAATTATAATGAAATATTAAGAATTAATATTGTGCTACATTTTTCCACAGATTTGATTTTACAACTTGTGGAATGTTTGTGTTCGTCACGATCATTGTCCTCTTCTTATTTGGTCTTCTAGCATTAATCTTGCAGAGCAGGGTGAGTAAAAAGTCTTAATTTTTAGTGTACGGTACACTATACTTTCATTAAATTTAAAAAAAGGGGGCTCTGGGTCACACGACTTACCGAAAAATAAAAATTAACCGAGTTCGGAACACTTTTACATTAGTACTGTATATTCGAGAATTATCAAGTTTTTGTGTTCAGTTATTTGTTTATTTTCTGCTCAGTTTGTTTCTCATTATTCCAACTAACAAACATACATGCTCAGTTACCCATCCCTTGGCTGCCACATAAAATATTCCATTTATAATTACATGTACTGTGCAAACAAATATTTTTTATATGTACACTGGGTAAATAAAGTTAATAAATGTACCACTTACTGTTACTGATCCTGATCCTGAATAGTACTGTCATCAAGATTATTATTCCTAATCCCCACTCTGCCTCAACTCAGGAGACAGGTCATGTGACTTGCTTCCTTTGTTCTGTCTGTCTCCCTTGCTTTGTTCTGTTGGTTGGCTGAAGAGGGTCCTAGTATACCATTTCCAAGTTTTGTGTTAATTTCCCCAATGTGGATTTTTACTTCATTTACCAGTGTGACCATTACACTTTTTGGAATATCATCTACATATTATCAGCTCGCCTCGCAATATACGGTAAGTGTTACACTTATTTATTACTGTATTATTTGCTTTATTTTGTTAATGTAAATACAGTAAAAATATTTATATTTGCACTGTAGCTATTAGTAGAATATTTTGTGGCAGCCAAGGTGACTTTTCAGAAATGCTCGGTTATTTCAGATTCATTCCAAATTCAAATACCTGTAGTTATAAATAATTTTTGGAAAAAGACATACAGATTGAGCCAAAATCCAAACTAAAGATGGTACAGTACAGTGTAATGTATAGAAGAATTTTGTTAAGATGCCTTTCTATTTGTTTTTGTAGTGTCTAGGTGGGTGACGTCCTGAGGATTTATAAAATTTATTTCTGTTGATCCATCTTTGACAAAACCAATGGAGGACAATATATGATACACAAAGGATTCCTGAGCACTTTGTTTTTGATAATGTGGTTATTTGAAGATTAATTATTCATAATTTGATTACTGTACTTATATACTGTGCTAATTATGATTTTTTTTTTTTTTTCTCTTCAGATTGTGAACCTTGTGTACTCTTGCCTTGGTGCACTGCTATTTTCTTTCTACCTGGTGTTTGACACACAGCTCTTGATGGGAGGAAATCACAAATTAGCAATCTCTCCTGAGGAATATGTGTTTGCTGCACTCACATTATATTTGGATGTAATCAACATATTTATGTACATCCTATCCATCATTGGTAACAGTCGCAGCTAAAGTACTTCAAATAGTTATTACTCCAGTTTGAAAGGTGTCTCTGAGGTGTCTAAACTCTTCTGCATGGTAAATGTAAATCATTTTAAGGTAAATGTATGGAATGGCAGAAAATAGATCAATATTGGAGGTGTTACCACTTATATTTATTATATCTAGAGGAAGGAATGATCCCACCAACCACCAAGTAATCACAAATGTGATATTCCCTAATGTCTTACTGATGTATGGTATATTCATATCTGAAGTTAGTCTGCATATGCTTAAGTTGGTTTTATGTTCAGCTTCATCGTATACATTAAGTTCCCATTGAATGTTCATACTTTGAACGAATCCTCACTATAACGAAAGCAGGTTTTACTACCCATTTGCCAATTAACGAAAGAATGTTCTTCTATTACGAAAGGTAGGTCGCCCCCACCTTTCTGCTTTCTCACCACCACTACCGTTATTATTACCACCTAAATCATAATTTCACCTTCCCTCCCTCCCACCCACTGCGTCTCGCTAACACTGCCTCTCTCACTCATTCTGTGACGGTACAATGTTGTACAATACTGTACATTGTTTATTTGTTATTCTCACTCCATAATTTAAAATTTATGGAACATCATGTAGAAGGAATATGATGCTGTTCAGTTAGACTTGCACTTAATATTGTGGGTAAACATCAACTGTTAAATTGTCTGGTAGTCCTGCAGCCAGTGTTACCAAATAAACCGACAGACGCATCATCTCCTCACCACCTATCACCTCCCTCACTCTGCTGCTCTCATTCTACTATGACTCATTTGCATATTCCCACAAACAACAATTGACAACTCTTCTTATGTACCTTTATGTTTTACATGTTTTAATCTTCAGTATTTTGATGTGTTGCAATTATTTTGTCACAGAGCTTAGTAATGTACATTACAGGTACATTAATCTATCGCAGAGCTTAGTACAGGAACACATCCCCCCTTATTACATTGATTTATATGGGAAAAGTGGTTTTGATGAATGTAACCCACCTAACGAAAGCGTTTTAGTGGAACCCAACTCTCTCGTTCAATTGGGAATTCTTGTACTGTACACCTTCTCCCTTCATACAACATGAAGACTTAAGAGTATTGATCTGTGGCTCTGAGGACCTTATGTTGACATATAATGGGCCCAGTTGTTATCATTATGGCTTTCATGTTTAAGCTGCTTTACAGTAAATTTAACAACTCCACTATGACTATTATGTGAACAAACACATCATTGATGTGGGCAGGGGCTCCCCTCAGCTGAATAAAATCATCTGTCATTAGTCAGAATAAAATACCTAAGTGATACTTTGCCCTCTAAACGGTTATAGGTGTTTTATACTTAGTCACTTAACTGTAATAGTCATTTTACCAACTTCTTAGTAGAGATTGTGTATGCAGTTAAAGTTTTGTAGAGAGCAGCTTTACATTAATGTGAATTACATGGGCAGTTACAAAATCAATGTGGTATGATAGGAATTAATCATCTTATTTAATCCTATATCACTGTTTGCAGCTGAATAGATGCTGGCAACATTTCTTAGACTGGATGCTTTATCCAATCCTCTCACATTTATGCATATGCAGATTGTATATTAGAGCTTCCTTATACAGTACTTTTACCAGTATTGATAAGTCCATGGCTTTCTAATTAGTTATTTTCAGAACTACAAACTGTTCTATTGTTGAATCGACTAATAAGTACAGTAAACCCTCGGAGATGCGGACCCGGTAAATCTGGATTTCGGAAAATTAGGACAAAAAATTGGGGGGTTCTGGGCTAAGAAACATTCCCAAAATAGGGTGAAAGTAGAACTGTCTCTTTGTCGCTTTTCATTCAGTTTCAGTAGATAAATTGGATTAAATAAAGTTCAAATTCTCATGGTAGGTCACACAGGTTAAGATGACCAAAGGGGAAATTAGACCAGAAGGGATGGAAAATCACTGACTTAGATGATTGGGTGATTTTTGGGTCTGTCCTAGAAGGAATATTTAGAATGACATATTTACTAGTTCACACTCTTGCCAAGTTCTCAATAAGTCAAAAGTCTTTATTAACCCATTGCTGCACATAGAACTGGCGTGTCTTATCAAAGAGGTATTACCGTACTTGTTATTAATGCTGCCAGTATGTATAGGCTTCTTGATACATTTCTGAATAATCTTGACAATCTTGCTAGTCATGAAGTCCAAGTTACTGACTTGAAATATATAATTTTAATATATATATATATATATATATATATATATATATATATATATATATATATATATATATATATATATATATATATATATATATATATATATATATATATATATATATATATATATATATATATTATAATTTTGACTTTGTCTGAAAACTTAAATTATTACAGAAGCTATACCTCATATAAGACTTGTTTGTTAATTTTTATATTTACTGTTAACCGAAGTGTCAACCGAATACAGGTGAAGTGTTTCTTTTAGTAATGGTAATATATTTCAATAACGTCTGACCATAAAGATTCATAAGTAATTTGGGTCCATAATTCTTATATTGTATTTGTTGTTACTATTTGTTGTTGTCACTAAGTGTATATGTTACTAAAATTAACCTTGAGCATCAAATAATTTTTTCTTGTTGAGTATCCGATCTATAAGACCGTTACTGTTGTTACAACACTTAGAAAGAACAAATGACTTGAATGAAGGAAAATTTGTGTTGCTTGTTGCCACTTGTGCACCACAGAGAACAGGGGCTTGCAAGTGGGAGAAATATCAACATAAGATAAAAATTTGCAGTTGGCTCCAGTTTTATTCCTTAATCATTTTGTTTGCAGTACAGTGACCCTTCGGTTAACGATCTCAATCCGTTCCAGAAGGTCGTTCGTTAACCGAAACCATTGTTTCAATGGGTTTTTGGGTAATTGGTTCCAGCTCACCGAAAATTTCCTAAATTCAACAAAAATGGTAGAAAAGTTCACTTACTTTGAGGTGTGTATGTAGAAGGCTCCTGGATGATGATGATGGGATTTAGAATGGGGATGGAGGAGGAGGAAGAAGAGAAGGCATTGGGGTGGAAGAGAAGTCCCCCCATGGTGCCATTTCACCCATAAAATTTTAGCTCTCTTGGTGTAATTCAAGATTATTTTCTTTAAATCAACACTGCACCGCATTATATATTGTCAATATGTAAAATATATTTCAAAATTACCAATAATTTGCTTGGAAACACAGAAAAAAAGCGTTTAGTTGAAAACAGAGAGAGACTAACGCCTGTTTGCTGTGTTAAGAGGCTGGATGCCACGCATTAAACTAGTCACTTTACCTTCAATTATGTTCAATAATTGTTAAAATGACAAAAAAATTGAATATTAAACTTAAAATTATTGAATAGTATAAACTTCTTGATATTTCCTAAAATAGTAAGGAATTTAAGCCCTATAACCGATAAATGTATTGGCGGACTGATACTAAAGCTGGTTGCCCGGTCAGTGAAAGCGAAAACATGTTGAGGTCGGTTCGTAAGAAATTCGTTAACCGAATTTTTGTTCGTTAACCGAATTGAAGATCCTTATGGAAGGTAGTTCGTTAACCGAAATTTCGTTAACCGAGGCGTTCGTTAAACGAGGGGTCACTGTATTTGATTTGAAATATAGTTATACAATACCTGTAGTTTTTCAGTGATGTACATGAAGTAAATTCTGTAATTTAAATTAGTATTTGTAACTTTAATTAGGATATATATATATATATATATATATATATATATATATATATATATATATATATATATATATATATATATAGTGCTAGTTAATTTTCAAAGGGGCTGTGATGTGGCTACTGTTCTAGTATCATATTCCAAAGAATAAGGAACTTAACAGATTTTAATTGTGCTAATTACTTCTTTTGAATGTGAAAATACATTCCAAACTTTCTATTCTTTAGCCTTAAGTTCTGGGAAATTTGGCAGTACAGTACAGTATTATTACACTATCTCTATCCATGACAAATTTGGTTTCTTTAAAATTTTACATAAACTCCTGGATATTTTTCAGGTTGGATGTGGAAGTGTATTGATAGGCATTGATGGGTGTGATACTATCCCAATTACTTTTAAGAGTAAGTAGTTTTTGATGGTGTTTGTTTATGAAACAAAGTACAGTATGGATATACTGTACAGCATGTCATTTATAGGGTTTTTACCAGCATCACAAAAACCTCTGTCAAGGCAAAGTCATCTGCAAGTTGAGTGCATTGTTGAAGTAAAGACATTTTCAGAGTTTCTAGTTCGAAACAGAAGTTAATTTCAAGACAAAGATAGGAACTCGGCAGTTTTCACGTAATACATTTTTAGATATCAAAACGAGTGATAAATATAGTTAATTGAAAATCAATATGCCTTTACAATATCTTAAGGTTTTTACAAACACTGCAGAAAGGATGATATAAAATACTTAAGTAATACAGTATTTGAGATGTACAGTATAGTGGAAAATAGGTAAAACAGTGAGGGATCACATGTATACAAGAATTGGGTGTTTATGGGTTAAATGATAATGATGAATAGATGGAGAAGTAAAGGAGCAAGTGAAGTGTTTGACAATGGTAGATGGGGTAATTCAAGGATAGTAGATGTGCAGTGCAAGAATAGGGGATATGGACGAGATACTGTCATGAGTCGCCATAATGGGTAATGAGAGATGGCATCTTTTATGTAGATAAATAAAGGCTTAAATAGACTATACTGTTTTAGCTACAGTAATTTAAAAATTCTAAGCCTTTATCACCAGTGAATATGGGACTGTAGCAGGAATGGTTGAAATTTGCTATTTGAGAAAAATAGTCATTGTTTAGGAATAAAATAATAGGAAGATGGACATAGCGATGAAATAATTTGGATAAGAACACAAGGATAAAATTGATACTGTTGTATATATTTATATAAATACTAAGATATGAATTAATGGTGTCATGCTATTTTATGTGAGGGCGTGCTAAACTATTGATCTGTAGTTTAAAGGTGTACAATTACATGCAATTTTGAAATACACCTAATGCTAATGTGCAGCACAAGTGTGACTCATGTTTTATGGAATCTTTTCCTTTAAGTTTAATACTTGTTGAAAACTAAAATGAAATGAAGAAGGTAGTGATAAAACCACAGGTTGGGGGATGTAGGATGGTTTACAGTACCCTGTAATTATATCTGGGAAGGTGATATTTGTAGTGAATACTGTAATAAGGAAAAAATTTAGGATAATGGTACAATATATGTGTGAGCTAGAATGTAAGTTATGTGATAAAAATGAAAGATAGTGGTGATATGAAAAATGTCATAAAACTTGGCAATTGAAGCAGAGTAATAATCGAAAATTCATTTAGCACAACATGAGAAAAAATGGAAGAATTTAATAACCGTCCGTAAAAAGTCAAAAAGTTTATTGTATTCGAGAGGTTAAGACAGCACCAGAAAAAAGGATTTCTCTGAAGGTAAACCCATAGGTTTCAAGCCTGATGCAAATACAGGTAACTTCTATAAAAACAAAAACTTGCAATCTCTTTTTCAATGTGACAATTATAAATTTAGTTTTGCAGTGATGGTCGAATTTATCTGGATTTTGTGAATCTCAATGAAGCAGTAAGATTAAGTAAAGAATTTTGAATATTGGATTTTTTTCCACAAGATCTTTATTCTTTTATAATATGCAGCTACTGTATACATCTATATTTTGTGTGTGGAGAGTGTGTGGCTCTGGATGGGCGAATTTGGTAAGTTAAGGATGATGGTCATAAACAGAGAGAATGCACTATTGTGTTCAGCCTATTTTAGTACAGTATTGTGTTCAGCTCCCTTTTTTTTTATTGTGAGTAATGGTCATGTCCAGTCCCCCAAAAGTTTCATATATCTATGGGGACATTATAGTTCATGGTTTTATGAGCATTGTTAGTCCACTAATTTCTGAATGGTTGGTACAGTCAATCAGAGGTATTGGGATACAGTACATGTACACCATTATCTACTATGGGAATCAAATTCTCTGTTAACACCTTCATGCAGTGAGCTGACAGAATCTCAAACTGACCAGTAATTTGTTTTACCGGTATTACTGCAAATAGTTTATAAATAAGTATGTTATGCTTACATGTTTAAATCCTGTCAACCTAGCAAATCCACATCTGATGATGGACTAGTGAATGTATGATTATTTTTTCCAGCTTTTGAAATGTAAAAACAAAGCATAATACTGTACTGTACTGTTAAATAAAGACTTCTCTAAAAGTAGTTTCAGAGTAGTGATTTTAGGGAAAAATGGAAATGTCTTTGGTTAACCATCAACTTTGAGTGTGGAAAGTTTATTATGATGATAACTAACATACGTAGCCAGTATTAGTAGTAAAAAGGAAAAGACATTCATGCTTGTAAATTGTAACTACATTTATTTTAAGTGTGTGTATACAGGTACTGTAAAGAGTTCTGCTAGAGTTAGATTAATGCTGTACAATATACTGTGTGTGTGTGCACAAAGTTAATGTGTAACATTGTATATATATATATATATATATATATATATATATATAATGCAATCAGTAGACAATATGCAGTAATTACCATGTTCAGTCGTGAAAAAAAGTCCTGGCAGTCCTCTGTCCCATCCATGAGCCCTGAGACTTGTGAAGCTGTGAATCTGAGACATCGCACAACCCAGTGCACCGTCTATGGGTCTAACAGTGGGTGAGGTTTCGGATTCACAGCTTCACGCGTCTCAGGTCAGAGGGCTAACAGGACTTTTCCATGACTACAGTATGTAGCAAATGCCAACAAAGGTCCAGAAAATGTTGAAGGACTGTACGTGAGGTACCTGTATTTGTAGTGTTCAATATGTAATTTGAATGTGATACACTGTAACGTGAAAAGTATAAGGATCTTGATGTATAACTTTGAGATCAACTTTAAATTATCTCTATTGACAGATCTCACTCCTATGTGTAACTTGAGCCGTTTGTCTCAGTTTTTCATTCGTCAAAAGAGGGAGTGCCCGAAAGAGATTTTTCTTTAGTGCTTGCATGACACTCCTCAACTTGTGCACTATTTATGAAAACATTCCCAATTTTTCGTGAAAAGATTTGATTTGGTTCAAATTGTGAATTACAGGTGCTAGGTCTCATGAATTTATACAATACTGTATGGAAAAAAAAATTGCTGGATTTTTTTATTTTTCTAGTTAATACTAAATGCTGTTTTTTTTTTTTTTATGAAATATTTTTATTGTCCCTCTGTCACATATCTTAGAATTTCACAGAATGCTTTAAAATGCACTTTAACTAATCTAATACATGTATTAGTTTTGTTTATTATGCACCTGTTAATTATGTTCTTTGCAAAGTACAAGTGAAAATGTGTCTGCAACGTACAGTACAGCAAAACTTTAAAGGGTAAAGGACACTTGTTAATGTATGCTAAACATTGGAGAAAATACAATTTGAGTTTGAATTTGACACAAAACCAGCCAGCACTGTGCATCATTGTACCTAGTTTGCCTGCTGCTGGCCAATACAGTATAGGAAATGCTGAATAAGGATGATTTGCTTATTATGTTTCATATCGGTAACCTGAGTACAGTTTACCTGAGATTGTGAGTAAGTTATCCATCATAATGGTTCTGTGTTCATAATTGTCATTGATTATTAGTTCTCTTATGCTCTACTTGATAAGGACATTTTGTTATAAATGGGACTGTTCTGGCAGTGCCTATGTCTGATGTACATTCAGCAACCCCCCTCTCTCTTTGTCTGGCGATCTTCTGTGATGCATTGTGTAATCAGTACGATGTATTCTATATATCAAGCATAGTTACTACAGATGAATTAACAGGAATCACCAAAGTAAATGAATGTTCAGAATTCTTGGTCCAGTGTGTCATATTGTACAACACGGTAAAGGTGCAGAAACTTTTTTTTTGTCGAGTGGTACTCAAATTGAGGAATCTTACCATAGCACAAGTCATTTAAAACTAAGTCACTGTACTTTTGGAGACATTACAATGAATTATCAGTAATGTATTGAATTGAATTGAAACAGTTTATTTAGCCAAAAAAATACAGATACAGAGTGGATAATAATAACAATATTAACATGGCTGAGCCATTTGAGAACCTGTGTGTATTTGAAGTTGCCTTTGAAACCTTTTTCTTAACCAAATTGTTTAAGTTTTATTGACGTGATTAGCGTCACCTATACAAAAATATTACCAAATGATTTTATATGATTCGTGTTAATATGCTTGAAAGGGTTAATGGTATTCATGAAACTGACAAATCTTTGGGCTGTAAGACGTAATATTAAATGGTAAAATTCACATACAGTAATTGTTAAGTGTTATCACAATCATACGTTACAGATTTGAATGTTATGGTACAGCAATTGATGCACTTTACCTCATAAATAGCTATTCTGTATTGTCAGTTGATAGTCATTTCATATACTGTACTGTGTTGCTTATATTGTACTGTAGTGTGTGAGATGCCATGTATGTACTTGAAGAAAATATTATCTAGTCATTTCATATACTGTACTGTGTTGCTTATATTGTACTGTAGTGTGTGAGATGCCATGTATGTACTTGTAGAAAATATTATCTTGTGTCCTAATAGGAGATAACTGGTAGACCTCAAATTATAGAAAGGTTGTTTCAGAAAACTCTGTAAGTGGAAGTGGATTTGCCTATTGACTACCATTATGATTTATGAGAGATGTTCCTACAAAGTAAGAAATTTCACTATCTTGTAATCATATGTATTAAATATGTTTTTAGGCATGCAGTATTTTAAAAGGAACAATAATGCTAAACAAAGATACTGATCATAATGTTACTGTACAGGCAATGCTATTGAGTTTAATCCAAATTAAGCTGTATTGTACTTAAGTGATGGGATGGTAGAGGATGTAGGGTTACTGTACTGGGATGGTGGTGGATATGGGATTACTGTGCTGGGATGGTGGTGGATGCGAGGTTACTGTACTGGAATGGTGGTGGAAGTGGGGTTACTGTGTTGGGAAGGTGAAAAATCAGAATTTTCATCAGCTCTTGTCTCTTGTTTGGCTGTTGCTTAAACTTACTGTAAGGTGTATAATAAACTTGTTTGCTTGTACAGTACATGCACCATATAGGTTTTTATGAATATGCTCCAAAAGCTCTTCAGAAATGATGTTCCTCACATCAAGGGTCTAGAGAACACTTTCTGGCCTTGTTCAGCACAGTTCACTCGCAGATGTTTGTGTCAGCCCTCAGCATCTTCTTATGTTATGAAGAAAATGCAAAAAAAAAAACATTTAAATCTGTAAATAGGGTTGTACCTGTACTGTATGAGCATACACATACTTTACTCATTTCATAAATAGAATTGAGACCAACTTACATTACTGTTACTATCATGTTTTCTTTTTCTCGTATCTTAGAAATATGAATTTTCTTATACAGGTACAGTACTTCAATACAAAATTCTTCACTGTTTTGAGTATCAAATCACTTTACACAGGATTTAATTTCTATAAACATGAGACAATTTGTTAAAATGTAATATATTCATTGTGCTCTGATGTATGTGGATACAAAATGTCATTAATGGACTATGTGTCATGGATACGCTATACTTGTTATAACATGGTGCTTTGGCACTGCCAAAGAGGCCTCACAGAGGCACGTGATACTTTTTTGTTGATGTACAATCAGCAGTTCAGTTAATAGGTACAAAATTGTTAGTACACAATACATGGCATTATCGATATGATTATAGAAGACTATTTAACTCAAATAAAACCTTTATTGTGATTTGTACTTTAAATATCAGCCCCATATATGTTGTCACTTTCTACAGCAGTTACTGGTACAGTAGTTTTATGCTCCATATTTAGTTTTGTATTTCTGTCCCATACCACCGATCCAGCATTTTGCCATGGACACAGTATATGTACAGTACTTCCGTACAGCACTTACCAACAGAATACTGTCCACTATACAGTATTCGCAAAATTATAAGCTCATAGTTTGCCCCTCTTCACTAAAGTCTTTCATTATCAGCACATCATAATAATAATAATATGGTCGCTATCTACACAATGTCATTATCCAAGCTACACTTACTACTGTACCAGTGCACTATACAGTACTTTACTCTTAATTACAACGCTATATTGTATTGTGTTGGTACAGTACAGTACCTGATTATATTGTCACCAACTATAACACTGCTGCTTACACTACTATTTAATAACATAATTATATTTGTTATATTGTCACCAATTGCTGTCTAGAGGCCTAGCTTATACTACAGAAGGGCAAGGGGAGACCTATTTGAGGTGTTTAAGCTCGAGGTTGAAGAAGCCGCAAGCCCCGAAAACTTAGGGGTAACTTTTTCGGAGTGAGAGTTGTTGGAACAATCTGCCAGTGTTGTGATGTCACCGGGTTGCTCTTTCAATACCTGACTTGACAAGCACTGGAGCAGGTTCAGATACATTCAGGAGCCATTACTGTACTTGCCATCAGTGCATAACAGACATGACCGATCGCCCAAGCGGCTAACAAACTGATCAGTGGTGGTGAGGATTAAAAAAAAGGGGGGAGGGGGGGGACTTGTACTGGCTATTTTTGCTTTTGGCTAGTACATTACAAACGGCTGGTTTTGGGGGACTAGCAGCTGGTGCAGTGGTTCTTAAGCTTTTTGCTCTCCCCACCCCCTCTGCACAAGTTTTCATGTCCCACTCCCCCTTTCAGTTTTAATTAAATGGTATGCGGTGCATTTTTATACTATTAATGTATAGTTAATTGTTTATGTGAGTTTACGGATAAATGAGAGACTTTTGCTTTATTTACATTTTAGTTTTATTTTCATATGCACCCATTTTCAATGTAACACAGAAATAACAATAGAAAATACTAATTACAATGGAACAAAAATTTTCCCTTCCATTCATTAAAATTACTGGCTAAATTAATACATCAATGATTTTTACACATTCTCCAATTACTGATTTATTTGATTATCCTTATGCAGCTAGTTTATAGTTTTATTTTATCCTTAATCAACCAGCTTCAGTGCAACACATAATATTATCAATACAGAAAATGATAATTACAATGAAATAATTTTTTTTCTTAATTCAATACAATTACTGGCTACATTAGTACAACACTAATGATTTTTACTCATCCTCCTTACTGATTTATTTAATCTATCTTATGCAGTAGTTTTAGTGTAAAACACAAACAAAATATTCACTGGAAAACTCAAGAAACTAATTAAAATAAAACCGATTTTTTACACACTTTCACCACCGTTACTGCTTAAATCAGTATGCCACAAATGAAACGGTGAATTATAATTTATTGAGCTTGGTAGTACTCATCAATGATGGGTGATGCTGGCTCTTCTGACTTGCAGGACTCACCGACTTATTTTTCTGGTAAACCGAGAAATACTTCACTCAAAACTTTTCAAAACCACTAGACAAGTAAAATTATCTTGTGCTACAGAATTGAATTTCAGTTCAAGAAACTCTCCTAGTCTTTCCTTGGTTAGCCATTTTCTTACGGAGTTCTGTGAAAAAAAAACCCCGTAAAACATATATGGCACCCTATCTGTGAATAAGTCATTGTAAGTATATTCAAAGCCAGGCCCGTCCTCGATGACCTGTGCCCCTTAGATCTTTCTTTGGTTGCATGATAGCATATTTTACTTCATTCATTATATTTTTGGGGTTCTGATAGATATTGGTATAGTAATATGTTTTTTGCCTCCACAAACTCAATGACCAAGCAAAGTTTGTGTTCGTTAGGTGCTGCGGTAGTTTACTTACTCCTTAGACGATTGCTGCGGTAGTTTACTGCTGGGAGTCTGGAGTGTGAAGTACAAACATCTCAACATCTGTAGTGGTGTAAAATAATGGCACTGAATTGCAGATCGTATATTATTGCTTTTCGAAATGCTGCCAGGGTAAGGAGGGTTGATTATTTCCGGTGATAATACACGGAACTCAATACAGCACTAAAAATAAAAAATACTTTTTGCTTTTTCGTCGGAAATTTTTATTTTTAATTCTCTTTTATTTATATTTTTTTACTTTTCGAATTCACTAGAAGAAACACAATTTTGATCACAAAATGAAGAAAACTAAGGTAATTATACAATAATGGTGGAGCAGATGGTTAGCATCTGAAGGACAATGTACTGTAATTGCATCAAATTTTCAGTGTTGCTTGGAGGATACTTAGTAAGAAAATCGAAACGACAGTGCACAGAACATATAAGAACATTACCTAACCTCACCTAACTACCTAACTTGTGCATTTTCAACCAATATGCACCCAGGGATTAGGTAAGGTTAGGTTAGCTATGTTAAGGTTAGGTGGTATTTTTTGCAGTTTCAGCCCCAACTAGGTTAGAGTAATATTGTGTGTGTGTTGGGGGGGGGGGGGTCGGTGATAACTGAGTAACTACTCATTTGTGACGGAAATGAAGGTCAAATTCATGTGACTCAGACCAAATCCCATGGGAAAAAAAAACTTCTGGTGGAACTGCAAATTTACCAGTTGAGAACTTAAGAAAATAAGGAGTCTGCAATAGGCCGGTTGGCCTGTGCATGGCAGCTCCTGTCGAGAGTTACTACCACTCTCTCATCCATGAATCTATCTAGCCTCCTTTTAAAACTTTCCAGCATTCCAGCACTTAATACAAAGTTGCTAAGCTTGTTCCACTCGTCCACCACCGTGAACCAGTTCCTTCCTATCTCCCTCCTAGGTTAGGTTAGAAACTAGTGATTTCTGACAAAAATCGATATCAAAATGGTAAATTTATATTTTCGGTCATCCTGGGAGCCTTAGGAACTTAACTACTATAGGAATCAGTTGTTGAGACAATTCTAAGATAGTTTTCTTCCATGACGTATCCCTCGCAAATGACCTGACCAAACCTAACTGGAGGGCTCCGCCCCACCGGCATACGTAAGTTGTTTGCGAGGTATACGTCATTGAAGAAATTTATCTTAGAATTGTCTAAACAGTAATTATTTATAACCACCATCATTTGTTTGCCAAAACGACTTGTAGATCTTTTAAGCACACTACACCACCCCTACACACACTTGTTCAGCATATAATTGAATGTGTCAGTCTTCCCATGTGCAACCTTCACAGACACAAGCCATCTTCCCACAATATAGAGTTCTGTTCATGATCACTACATAATACTGTATTAACCCAAAATATTAGTTATTTCCTATTTTATTCTTGTAAAATAGAATAAGAGGGAAAGATTTGTTTTATGCCATAATGGAAATAGGATTTTATGTTTTACAGGGTGATTTGAACGAATATGACCTTTATATCCGATGCTAATGCTTATTTAAGGAGATACAACCATGATTTTCATAAAGTGGGCAGGGTTTTGAAGATACAGTACCTAGTGAATATTTGTCCTCAGACTTTTGGCACATCACCTGGATGGCAGAGCGAAGCAGTAGCGGTACCCCAAAGCTTGGCAGCACCACTCATCCTAGATGAAAATTTCAATATTGACAGGTGAGCTTGTTTTGTATCATATTCTAGGTTGGATTTATATGTATACTTTGGATTTACTTGTAAACATTGCCCTCTAAATTTATGTGGGAGTGGATTCATCTTCCTCAGATTAGAACAAGTGGGATTACAGTAAGTAGATTGATCATAATTTTTTTCTCAAGAATATTTTTAGTTATGTCAAAAATTAAGATACCCCGGTATCCTTAAAGGTTGGCTGTGAGCCTGCTCTATGATTGGGTTAGTCTTGGGAGCAATTTGTGTGGTGGCTGTCCAGCTTCATGACTCATTACCTCCCACCTTTCAGAAGTACGTGTGATTTCTAATCTTTTTTTTACAGTGATGAATGTGATGTGGTTATGAGATTTGTCCTAGCCCTCTTTGGTTAGGTTCTGTGTATTCAAACTCATAGGCTTTGGTGAGTGTTATGCCCGAGTCTTTCCTCTCTGATTCAGTTATAAGTAGGTTTCAAGGATCAAGCCTTCATTTTGGGGGAAAATAATATACAGTATTTTATGGTTTACTTTTTTAATTGAACTTGAATAATTGTAGGTTGCCTCTCTTTGTCTTTTTCCATATGCCATGGTAATAATTTGTTAGTCAACCAATTTTTTTTCTTCCTGATTTGGACCGAGGAAATAGCAAGGGGAGACACAAATGACAGCATTAATAAATTGATTCATCCATTGTTATTCACCTTTATTTAGACAACTCATCATGCACCCTTTTGAATGAGAATGTTAAAAGGTAGAGTATTATGCTTTGCTTTTGAAGACCTGTATGCTATACAGTACTGTATATAATTAAAAAGACATGTTTACTTACTCTTTCTAGAGGTTCATGGTTTGAAAAGAGAGCCCAAAGGATATTCATATGTATGATATTGTTTACAAATGTATGATGAATGTATAAACAAAACCTTTTTCTTTATGAAACAGGAAAGTTGTAGAAAAACGTGAAGCATGGATAGAAACCCTAGATACAAGTGCACCTAGTCATCAAGTGGGCCTCATACACCTACATCCAAAAGTGTTTGCTGATTACCCAAGGCTAGACATTATCCATGAAAATGCAGTATGGCAGCAAAAATTTCGTATGGTGGTAAGTTATGATGAAACATGATATGATCTCTATCAGTAATTCTTCACTGGTATAGGGTCCTAGTGTTTTTGCCTTTATTTACAGTACAGGGGGTCCCTGGGTTATGAATGGATTCCGTTTCTGAGGACATTTGTAAGTCAGATTTGTACCTACGTAAGTTGGAACACATGCTATATACGTACCGTACTTACAAAACAATGTTTAAAATCCCACTATATCATAGCCTACGTCCTTATATACATCTAAGTTCACTTAATTTAAAACAAAAGAAGAAATAGAACGACAAAATACAGTAAACGAAAGTAAAAAAATAAGTTATCGGGTAAATAAAATAATGTAAATTTCAAATTTAACCTGTTCGTATCGGCAGGAGTCCGTAAGTCAGACATTCGTAAGTTGGGGACCTTTACCGTACATTAAAAGCTCTATGACCCAACATTTGACAAACAAGGAAGCTATTGTATCTGGAATTTTCAGTAGCTCCCAGTACTGTACAGATACATATTTCTGGTGAATGCTCAATTGGTTAGTACATTTATCAAAAATTATTATACAGTAAATACAGTCAGCCTTCAACCTACACAGTGGTTATGTACTAGAAAAACTTTGTGCACATAAAACCTTGTAAAAAAATGCTATGAATCACAAGTTGACCTTCCTGATATTTCCAATAAGTTAATATACAGCATATGTAACAAAGCATTTCATGAAACAAATTTGATGGTACTGTATTGAAATATGCTCATAACCTTTAATGGTACCAAATTCATCTCTTAACTCAATTAGAACAGATGCTGTGAATATAAGTTTATACTTTTTATGCTAGCCGTAAACATTTTTATTTATGCCTGTAATCTAAATGTAATGGGAGGTGTTTGTCCGTACGAGATGAGATGATTAGATGCGTAGTTTAGAGTTGAGATGAGATGCGTTGTTTAGACTGGGGATGTGGGATAGTGTCTGTCCATGCGAGATGTGTAGTTTAGACTCTCAAAAAGTTTTCCAAGTACCCGGAAAAATTCTGGGGATGTGGAATTTTTTTTTGTGTTTGATAGAGTCGTCTTATTACCTGAAAATCTCTCAAACCCAGAAGAGCTCTGCACCAGCTAACAGGGAGATTACTGTATATAGTTAACAGGTTTTGTTTATGTAAAGCAATCAATAAATAATTTTTGATGCTTTATTAATGCAATATCTTAAAAAAAAATTATTCAAGTTGTTTTGTGTAATATATAATAATTCATTTTTTATACCAACATCTTATGCAAATTACACTTTTTAGAATACCGCACATACCAAGTTACGATCAGAAGTAAGAGGAGGGGGCAAGAAGCCTCATCCCCAAAAAGGATTAGGGAGAGCAAGACATGGTTCTATCAGGTAAGCATAAATTGTTATACGTACAGTACAGTAAAAAGGTTGTCACTTCTCTTGATAAACTGAAATTTACTGTATATGCTGTTCTTCAGTCTTGTTTCTTATTTTCATTTAATCATGAAAGCTTGTCAATATATTGGAGATTATCATTCATCTCCCTGCACAGTATATAACATACGAAGTGTAATTATTAACCATTGTAGAACTTCTGATCAGTAACACAAATACTGTAAAATGTTTGTTCTTTAGTTATGAAGTTCGGTTTCATGAAATATCGGAGATAGCAGAAGCAATACCTTTACATTTTTGCCGACAGGTCTCCCTTGTGGGTTGGTGGTGGTCGGGCACATGGCCCAAGAGCATTTACCACACAGTTCTACATGCTACCATTTGCAAAAAGAATAAGAGGGCTTACTTCAACATTATCTGCTAAATTTTCACAGGTAATTGGTGAGAAAAAAACGATTGCTCCTGAAATTCCATTTGATGGGAGAGCCTGGGACTCAGCAACCCATGAATTACAGTCATAAATGAGGACCTACTGTACTGTACTGTAAAGTGTGTGAGATGTAATATTTTTTTTTTACTGTATATACACATTCAACCATGGAGTAAAAATTGGAATTATGAATATGGTTTGGCAGATAAGCTCATCCAATAGATTAAATACTGTATTGTACAGGTACTAACTTTTGGATTTGCCTTATCCAAATTACTCATATTAACAAAATGAAAAGAACTTCAGCACTCCCTGCCTGTTTGGTAGATTATAGAAACTTTGATACCCACAGGATGATCTCAAGATTGTAGAAAACCTGGATTTGCCATCAGATGAAGCTGGGTACTTGGAGAAGTTATGCGAAGAACGCTGCTGGGGTCCATCAGTTTTATTTGTGGATGAGTAAGTTGTACAGGTAATTTTACTTTTGCATAAAAAGTTTGTAAAAGTATACGTATACCCCAGTTCATTACTAAAGTTTAAAAAAGTGCAAACTCAGATATAGAATACAACATTGTAATGTACTTTAACCCTTTAAAAACATCAGATGTGGCCATAAAGGTGACTCACCTGACAACGGAATTTCAAGATTTAAAAAATAATAATGATAATGACAACATTCCTATCAAAATAATTTCCAGGTTCTGTAAAATGAATATTTTATGCACAATAATTACAACAACTTTCTAACCCAATTAGTGTGTTTTTAACTGAAATTGTCAGGTGATTTTTATTGATTTAAAACCACATATGTAATACAAAAAAATTCATTTGCCAGTGTATAAGTCCACTTTTGAGGCCTAAAAAATATACCCAAAACCAGGAACTGTAACTTAGTTTTCAGCTGAAAGATGTCAGATTACATGAAGATGAATGATTTTCTTATATATGGTCACCATTTTGAATCCATTGTTTCAGTAATTACTTCTGTCAGTATAGAGTTTGAAATAACAGCTGTCTCAAAGTTTATTTTTGATTTCTTGAACAGGGTTTACATATACATATATAGGGTGTATCGCAAAAAAAATGGTTATGTACTCTGTATACAAAGTGTATCACAATGTTATGTTAAAACTTCAGGGGATGATTCCTGGGGTCATTACCTGTTAGAAATGTAATACAGTATGAACATTGGTCCAATTCCCAGTGGTTTTGGAACAATTCTATGGGGAGATGCATGTACTACAGTCAAGGGAATTACCGGGGTAAAGGGGATTATTCAAGTAGAGTTGTGCGAGTTGAAATGAGAATGGTGATGTGGAGGAGTAATGACATTGAAAGACAAGAACTAAGAGGGCAGCTGGGTATTGAGAGTATATTGGTGAAATCCTGGGTAGAGGTAGGCTGAGAGGGTTTGGGCATGTGGAGGGAGTGGATGAGACCAATTGTGTCAAGAGGTTGATGTGGTGGGGAGGAGAGCCAGGAGTAGGCCAAGAATGAAATGACATGGGGAGAAGTTGTAAGAAATTACATTAGAGTTAGGAACTTGACAAGAGAGACTGCAAGATCTGACAGTGCAGCATGGAGAGCTGATGGCAACTAACCCAAGCTAGCATGGAAAATGGCCATAAAAAAAGGATCCTGATTGAAGTGTTGAAAGATGGAGGTTGGAGTCAGCTGTCATATTGTTTGCAGCTATGAGCATTGTTTAAGCAATTCTTTTAAGTGAATACAAAGTCACATAACTCAAACTGAATAAGCATTTACTGTACAGTACTGTACTTAGATGTGCGTGAATAAATTCATCACAAAACGATATATTTGTGAAGGATAAACACGTGAATGGCAATGCCCTGTTGTATTTTTACACATTTATTGGATAATTCCTTGTCCATTAGTATAATAATTAGATTTGTAGGATTTAGTGTAATGTATCTTACTATATTTTTTCTTCCCCAGCACTGATCTGATGCCACGCAATATAACCATTGCTACTGATACCATACAACATGTTAATCTTATGCCAGTTTATGGTAAGTAAAATTAATTTTTCAGTTCAAATCTACAGAATATTTAGAATAACTTAGATATTGTAATAAAGTTAAATAAAAAACTGTTACAGTAACTAAAATACTGTACAGTATAATCATATTTTTTCTGTTTTATTCTTAAGTTTCTTATGCTAATAATGTACAATAGAGGTGTAGAGTTGTAAGAAAAAATGTGGAATTTGGAGGTAAACAAATGTTTGGATGTGCAGACAGTGGATATTGTCAGTAACACACATGAGAGTGTGAATAGCATCAGTTGACTGACAACAGCATTTACCAGTAGACCGTGTAAACAAAGCAGCGGGAATTTAGGTTGATGCAAGTACAGTACAGTACTGCACTGTATGGAGAATGTATCTCCAAATGTAGAATGGGAATCAGTGTGTTAATGCAATTATACAGTACAGAGTACAGGTATTATTATAAATGTTGCCTAAATGTTTCATACAGTTCACTTTGTTTAAAATCTCTTCCAGTTTCTCGTAAGAACAGGTATAAAATTATTACTGTACTATTGTACTGTACCGGGTATGTATTTCACTAATTACTGTGTGTTTATTTTTGGCTTATAATCATTGTGTACACAAGAGTTTTCATATTTTATTCTTTTTTTATTGTATCTCAGCTTTTATAATGGGAATCTATGGGAAAATGTGCTCCAATTTATGAAAGATTTTTCAGAAACAGAGCCCTTTCCAAAATCAGGGAATACCTGTATGTAATTAATTAGATTTGTCCTGAAAGGCTGTAAAAAAAAAAATGTTCTGGAATGCAACCCTCACCTGCAGTGAGGGACACCTATGTTTACTAATTACTCTACAGTAATTGTGCTAGGTTTCTTTCCACTTCGGTGCCATATCTGCTTCTTATCAATTTCCAGTGCATCCCAGGTTTTATCAAGCTTTTAACTAGAGGATTGTTTGCATAGTCCTTATGATAAAATGAGAATTTGCTTTGAAAAACTTTTTTAATCAAGGATGAACAAATGGTCTAGATATACATTTTCCTCTTTGGGTTATTGAATAGAAGGGTCAAGACTGGAGCCATGTGGGAATAACAGGAATTGTGAGCAGTCTTTGTTTCAGTAATTAGACAAAGCAAAAAATGGTTTGTCTGGAAAAATACATAAGCTTATCTATTTTTCATTCTTCTTTAATGACATCACACATTTCATAATTTACTGAATGGCTTACCGCAACTAGAGGTGATCATGACAGGTAAGGAGGCCGATGGTCTGAGTAAGATTCCCTTATTGTTCCTGATACTGTGGTCTCTTCGAGGCCTATATTGAAGTCCAGTACTATTAATATTTACAGTCTCAAATGATAGACCATTCCATAGATCTGCCACCTGCATTAACCCTTAAGCACTGGGTTAGGGTGCTGGTGGCAGTACCCGTCACACGGGGGTAAATCGAGAAAATTCAACTTCCAAAATTAATTTTTAACCTTTTAAAATGATATAACAATAAAAATTTAGCAAGAAGAACTATATATTGACCCTCTAGAAACTTTTGTGACTGTGCAGAGGGAGGGAGGAGGGGGGGGGAGATAAGGAGACAGTTTTGGTGTGACAGCTGACGCTTGTGGTCCCTATGCACTAAGCAGCTATTTTTTGCTCGCCTTTGTGTCCGAAGTGGCCAATAATGTATGTATTTACTAATCTATATACTTATTTGCTATAAATAATTAATTTAGAATATTTATTTGCATAATTTTTCATAAAAAAGTGCTTGGCAACACTCACCAGTCTGCTTGGCTGTCTTTTTGTTTGGTAGAGCAAGTAATGCATAAAATAATAGTAATTCCATATAATCATAACATTGTTTATCAGTAATACTACCCTACAATACAACTACACTACTTTTAGCAATATTGCTTTGATACAACAAGATAAAATGGACAAACAATGAAAATGAAACAAACAAAAGTAGGTACTTACATGCAGGAAGCTTCCCTGTGGCCGAGCGTGTGGTGTGACAGGCAAATAGTCACACTGGAACCTGATAACCCTTGCTGGGTATTTAAACAGTGGCGGGAATAGGCTCGCGTTCTGGTACTTTCACCAGGGGCGCGCTGGGCGGACGTTCTGGAATGTCACCCGGGGCCTAAGGTTTAAGAAGAACAGTACTGTTGGGTTTGCTCTCCCTGACTGCTTGTATTTATAGCACTTGTCACCATGAAAGAATGATTTAAGTTTTCATCTTTCAGTTCTTTCATGCACCAATCATAAATGACTTACAGGTCATAATGAAAGACTGATGTACTGAATTGCCTATTGTATTATGATGGATGAGAAAAAACATATGGTTTGAAGTTGTAAGTTGCAAAATGGGAGAAATTTTAGAAGGAACTTGCTTTTATGGCAAGAGGGATTTATAATATGTGACTTTTAGCAGTCTGTTTTGACCCACTGCTCTGAAGCCCACTGATCCTTGAGAAAGCCAATGGGTCAGTTATGATGGAGTCTTAACCCTGGTTCAACTGAGAGATGAATTTACTTTTAGCAGAAACTCTATTTGCATTGGATAGAGTACATTGCCTTAAATCATGTCAAGCTTTCTGGCTAAAGTATGTTCAATGAAAGGATGTTTTATTTATATGGAACTTGCAGGTAATTTGTTTTGTTTTTTCCTCATCCTTAAAACATGAATTCATCCTTCAATACCTGTAGAAATATTTTATGATAAAGTTATGAAAGTAATGCAACAAAACAAACTGTGGTATCTTTTCCAGGCCTCAATGTTCACAGTATGCTGAAACATGAAACTCTAGTGCTGACCGTTTCTGCTGCTCGACGTATTGAGGAAAGATTATTATATCATCTCAACAGACCAGATTTTTATAAAATGAATAATGAAAGGTTCAAGAAATAAGAATAATTACTTCATGATTGTTTTTTCTTCTCTACAAAATGGGAAGAATGTCCATATTCTTACAAATTAATATTTAGATTTGTTATAAATTTAAGTAAATTTAAATTTCATTGAAGTAAAAAACACTTAAAAAAAACTAGTGATATAATTGTAAATGAGCCTGTTTTCAAAACCTATAATTTTTACTGTTAAAGAAATTAACATATTGGTAAATTTCACATTTTGTTTAAATAACAACTATACTGTACAATTATAGAGTACAGTATACTGTATATTTATTTTGATTCCCGATGGTAAATTTCCTTTTCATTTTTAGTTTATATTGTATATTGTGGATAAAGTCAATAAATTAATGCATTTGTTGTGTGATATATCTGTACTATAACTTAATTGTACGGTTTTAGCATTATCCCAAGAGGCAAGAAACTATGTTTATTAGACACTAGTAAACTGTACTGTAGAAGTAATTGCAGGGGGATCTTGTATTGTACAAATACAGTCATAACTTTTTATCTTTCCTAAGTTGTATCGCATTGAACAAAATAAAGCAGAGTGATAGAAATTCATAAAACTTTTTCTTAAAAAAAATTAAGACTATCTCCACCTCTTTCTCTGCCCTCTCCTTTTTATATATCCTCTCCCTGCTTCCCCCTTTCTATCCCCCCATGGTATTGGAGTGCTAGACAGTATCATCAAGGAAAGGAATATAAGCTTGGAGCATCTCCGAATGGGGAGGTAGAAACTTGGTTAAATTCATGACATATTAATTCGAGGCATCACCAAGAATTTTGAGATCACAGAAGAATTGGCATCAATGTAGCCACTGAAAGGAACAATAACTGGAGAAGACTTATTGGAGACATTAAATAACTGTATTTTGAAGTTAAGAGTAGAGTGGAAAAAACTGGTAAATGTGACCACTGATGGAGGGCCAAATCTGTCGGATAAATATGTTGGATTGCTGAAAAAAATTCAAGATCAAGTCAGAAAAACATGCAGAACAAAATATTGTCTTTCTGCACTGCATTACTCATCAAGAAGTCCTTTGTAAGAGTGTTTTAAATTTAATTCATGTCATGGACGCAGTTGTAAACGTGGTTAATTACATTCGAGCAAGAGGATTACATCACAGACAGTTTATAACCCTGCTTGAAGACTTGAAATCTGATCATAGGGATGTTCTGTATCACATAAATGTGAGGTGGCTTAGTTTGGGAAAATCCTGAAAAGAGTTTGGGAACTGAAAGAAGAGACTGGTTTATTTTTGGACATGAAACAGAAAGCTATAGATTTCCCACAGTTGAATGATGAGAAATGGCTCTCCGATTTTGCATTTGCTATTGATATCATAGGTCATACGAGTGACCTAAATTCAAAGCTACAAGGGATGGTGGCTTTTGCACATTATTTATACAACAGTGTCAAGACTTTTATGAAGAAATTACTGCTTTTGTCTCGTCAGATAACAAACAAATAGTTTGCTCACTCTGCAACCTTACAACACATTGAAGTTTGTGATCAAAATGTACAGAAGTACTCATTGCAGCTACTTGACTTGCATGCCGAATTTTCACACCGATTCCAGGATTTCAAATTAATTGAAAATGGCCTGTCTTTGGTGTCTTCTCCCTTCTCATTTGATGTTGACAGCCCAATTTGACCTACAAACTCGAGCTTATTGACCTGCAATGTGATCCTCTACTTTCTGAGCAGATGAAATCAGTGTCTCTTCCCCAAATTCTACGCCTCTCTTAATAACTGTACATTTCCAAAACTAAAGGCTTATGTCCAAAGAATGCTTGTGCTGTTTGGATCTACATATATATGTGAGCAGACATTTTCGGTAATGAGGCTGAATAAATCCAAACTTAGATCTGCAATTACTGATGATCACCTTGAACAAGTACTTTTCATTGCAACAACAGAGGCAACACCTGACTTCAATGGTCTGGTTAGCAATCATCAGCGCTGTCATTCATCCCACTGAGTAAGTTAAATATTCTTATCAACATATGAACAACTTCAAATATTACATAATTACATATTGGTCTTTTGACTTGCTTTTAATTACTTATTTTTAACCATTACAGTAAAACTTAATTCTATTACTTTTTATTTATCAAGAAGAACCAATAAATATTTAATTTTATTTATCACGCTGAGTGCAGCAGTGACAACGTGGATCAGGGACAGCTACAATCAGACCTGGACGACGCCACCTAACCACCAGTCTAAGGAAGCCAAAAGAAGCAGGATTAGCTGTGATCAGACCTGGCCAACTCAACCCTACCACCACCTCCCTAGGGAAGAAGAGTAAAGACAACGTCTCAAGAGAAGAAGAATTTCAGCCAGCAAGATCGATTCTGTTCGATTACGTTGATGTACTTAAAGTACTAATTATACTGTACCTTAACTACAGTATATTATTACTACAGGTAGTAGTATTAATATCCCTCATCTGAAAACCGAAAACAAAACCTTCACATACTAAACACTGAAAACACAATAAGGTAAGTTTTTTTTATAATTTTAGCATTTTTGCAGGTTAGGTAAGGTTTTCAAAGGCTTATTTGGTGTTCTTTTTAGAATTTTACCCAACATTTTCCCTCTACTTCAAAGCCCTGCCCACTTTGAACATCCAATATTGTTGGTAATGAGGTGGGGGGGTCATATCTCCATAACGGCTTATTTGCAATGGAAATGAAGGTCAGATTTGCTTGAAACAACACAAAATACCAAAGGAAAACCTGTTTTTTGTTAGTTTCCGTGGTCGAAAATAAAAACGAATCTTTATCAGGAAATTAACTATTGACTAAAGTAAAATCATCTACCCTGTATAAATAGAAAACACATGACAGGGTCACCTACACCCAAATCAATTAGTACATCAAGTACAGTAGACAGAAGACACGGCCACGGTTGAATATTTGAAGTTGGAATCATATTAGTATGAATCTAATTAAATAAACACAGTAATACTGGTGCACAAATATTCTGGTTTAAAGCAGTGAAGACCAGTGTATTTTTGTGCAAATCTCGGTATTTCTTATAATCAGGTGACTATAACTGACAGTAAAACTTGGAATACCACCAAGAAAACAGAAAATGTATTAATTAGTAATAACAAAGTAAGTGACGGGGCGAGCAAGAGTGTTTGGGTGTACTCCAGAAAATATCACACATTCCCAAACTCAAAGCAAAAAATGTATGGATATATTGGTGCAACGTTGCTGTAGAATTAATTACTGTGAAGAATGAAGGGTTAAGATTCGGAAAGGGAACTTCGTATTTACATTTATATTGGGAGATAAAGCAAAAAATATATTAATTCTGTTATGTTTCAGTCGCAAATTTAGCAGGAGACACCGTTTACATCTGACTCGGAGCCAAAGATTATATACGAAAGATAAAAGAGCGAACCGAAATGTTGTGCTCATTAGATCCTAAAAAGTGTTGAGCCAAAACAATAGAAGGCGCCAGTGTGTAACTCGTGTCGTGTGGGAAGTCTATAGTTTGTTTATGTCATGTGACCGCGTAATTCATTTACTGTCAAAGTGGCAGCAAGATGGACATCCGTGCGTGTTATGCCGCAGAACCAAGAAAGATCATCCCCAGTTTGTTTACCATTCATTCCCAAAGGATAAAGAAAGGTAGGAGCATAGTTTTGAATTACTTACATATGATATGACAGGACAGGTTTATTTATCATTCTATTTACAAACAACGTGAAAACTCCCTGCAGGCAAAGTAGAATCAGATGTTTAAATATTATTTACAAGTGCTTGCAATGGGTACAAGTACTGGGTCTTGAGAAACTTAAAGGAAAGAGCCCAGAAAATATAGGCAAAAACACCAGGTTAGGCAGCCATAATATTTCCGAAGGCAATTACGCTGCAGGGAAGGCTTTGTAAAAATGCATGTCCAGATATTAACCTCGGTTTGTACAGTATGTCAAATATTAAATATTGCAAATAAATATGTTTGCATATGTGTACTGTATGTCTATACAGTAGACTTTATTTTATGATTCACATTTATATATTTATATATTTTTGTGGATAATAAACCATAAAACTATTTATGTATATCCTTCACCCAGAAAATACTGACTGTTGCTTATGATCCTAAAATACAATGTGATATTTTATATTCTAAAGCATAGAGAATGAGTTGGCATTCAGTTGACCTAAATGAATACATGAAATAGGATATTTATGTGATTCACACAAAAAAATATGCAAAAATATGTTCCAAACATGAATACAAATTAAAGGGAGTAACAATTCTTTCAGTGACTTATTATAACAGCTAGGTGAATGACTAATTTATACATTTTATGTATAATATATGGAGACAATATAAAATTGGTTATATTAACATAATTATCTTAAGCATATTTCATATGAAAATTGACGTTAGCAAACGTTAAAATCCAGCTATAGATGACGCTGTCGTGGAATTAGACCGTACATCTTTTTTTATGGTAGGGATAGCAGGTGTTCTTTCTCGGCTTGGTCAGATCCTTCTGGTTTCTCTGGCTAGGAGGTTTCATTGGGTTTTGTTTCGTCAGTTGCGTGTATTACCCCACAATTTCCCTCTACTTAAAAGCCCTTCCCACTTAGTGCAACCAGTATTGTTGGTAATTGGGTGGTTAAATCTCCATAAAGTATTTTACCCCAAAATGAATGTCATATCCGTACTCAACGGTGGAAATATAGTAAAAAAAGATATATAAGACAAATTACGAGGCGACGGGCGGCTAACGATCTGATAAGTGGGAAGAGAATAAAATTAAAAGTTACGCTCGCACGCAATGACTTCGTCCGCGCTAAGTCATCTACTGTACATGACTTGTCGTCAAGCCCTTTCAGAAGACTGACAGAGTGGACGCTCTGGAGTTAATGTATCTAGTACGCAAGAGCGTCATTTAATTTTTCTTAGAGAGGGGGGGGGGCAAAGTTAGCATCTGAACCCCGTCCAAGTATTTGTCAATTAATTATTGCTCATTTGGAGCCCTCTGGAAAGCTCGGGTAAAATTGCAGTTTCACTACCAATTGGTTTTTTACTAGAAATCTAAGTTTCCCATGGAATTTGGTGTGATTCATTCGAATCTGACCATTTTTATCACCGGAAATGTTTTTTTTTTGTTATCACCTGGTGGTTTGAACCTGATCTAACCAACCATAGAAACCTACCCTACTACCTAACTTCCTAGCCTGGGGCTCCGCCTCCAAGACCCCCCCCCCCCTCCACCTCATTGAACGGAAACTACTGTACGTATTTTTATCTCTGGTACCAATGAAAGCAACTTTGTTGAAGCATCATGGTGTATTTTATTATTTTTTTTCTTTGTGGACGTGAGAGTACACTCAGACCGAGTGGGTCAGTTGTGAATAGATAAACGATAAGCGGTGACTGCAGATTTGCGTTAATTTCCTACCTGAATTTACCAACTCGGTTGTTATCCATTTGCAACGGAAGTGGTATTAGAAAAAGTTGTTGCAATTGACGAGATATAACTTCTTGTGAACCCAAAATTGCTCTAACCCGATTGGGAGTGAAACTA